ATCCCAACTAAGTAGTCTACACCTATCAACATGGCTCAGTCCACTTGTCAATGACTTCATAGATTTTTGCCATGTTGTGATCTGGCCGCCCCTAGCTTTCTTCCAACCTACTCCTACACCATAAAACATCGCTCGTTGGCGGTTGAGCATACGTAGCACATGTCTCAGACATCTCGACTGATGAAATTTCATTACTCCAAAACAATTGTTGAGAAGTGGAATGAAAGCCTGTAATGAAACAATCAATCTCAATGTATATGAACAAATCAAATAAGTCATTCTGCTTGCCTTTCAAGCTTGAGATTATTTTAAATAGATTACTGGTGAGTTAGTAAGCGTTTATCAAGTTTGATTCCGATTTTGATACTTATGGATGTGTGGAGTGAAAACCCATTATCTGACGCAACCAATAAATATTCTATTGTTCTTAGATTGACTTTGTCATGGATCCATTGCTTGCACTAGTGTGGAACTTTTTTATCCATGCTATTCTAAGTACTGCATCGGGTTTACAGTGGCGAGGACAATCAGTAAGCTTTCCGAGAGATTGCCTGAAATTGTTAAGTATCGACCATTGTGGTCACAGTATTTGTATTAATAAATCTTTCGCTAACAACAACTATTTTTTACATTCTGTTATTATTTTCATGTGTTTGCTAATGACTTATCTGTAAAGTAGTGTAAAGGTTTAGTGCATGATTACAAGATTAAAAGTTCTTTAAATATCTTCATATTTTTTTAGGGGTTTAATTTTCGGTCCACGATAAACAATATTCACGTAATTGTTTCTGTTCAGGATGAGGTAAGTAGACTAACATGTAGTTTATCATCATAATTTATTTTGCTTTACTTTGTAGTGTCGGTAATGGGCTTTATTTTTCTCCTATTTTGTTTGGATTAAGATTTAGCGTAATTTCAAACCTTTACAAATAAGTAAGTGGCCTCTTAGTAGTTAAAAAAAGTCGTTTTCGAACCAGTTAGTCACACACTCTTACTCCAAGTTTGACTGCGAACCGAAACCATCGGCGATCGTATTATTAAACTAAACATTTTTCGGAAAAACGAAGTTAAACCCAAAATCTACATAATCACTGGTCTCATGTCTGATCTTGCTTTTTCATTTTAGTTACGTATTGCTTAACGTCACAGGTCTTTGTGCTTTAAAGATCACAATATAAATTTAGGGATGAACTACAACTACTACATCCACAGTATTTTTAACGGATTGAATGAATTGACAACGCCTGCAGCTCTTCTAGGGTTACTTCCAGTCCCAAGTCCGGGTAAAGGAGAAGGTCTGGGAATGTGGTCAGCAATCTCATCTTGTAGAAATCAACCTTGCCCAAAAACACTAACCAGAACAAACAAATTAAACCATTTAAACTTTGCCTTCCGAGCTGAAGAATCTTCTTCCCGAAGGATTATGACGCCTAATGGTAAAAGCCGATATTTTTCGGAAGTTGAGGCCGACGCCCATTAATAAGTACATGGAATGCTCGGACAATGTGGGAAACCGGGAAGACCAGTCAAATAGCTACGAAAATGGGGAGATACAACTTGACGATACTCAGAATCAATGAAACCTACTGGAACAAACCTGGACTGAAAAGGATAGATTCATGTGAAATGCTGTTGTACGCTGGTCATGAAACAGGAACTGCTTCGCACGCTGAGTTGCACTGATGCTGTCTTGAGAAGCACGAAGAGCACTTATAAGACGTAAACCTAATGGATTAAGAATAATCAAAGCAACCTTGAAAACAAAAAAGAGGAAATCACAATAAAAGTTGTCCAGCGCTATGCACCCACCAATGATTGTAATGAAGATTATAAAAATCAGTTTTATGCCAGGCTTCAGTCGGTCTTAGAGTAGTGCCCGGTAAAGTACCTGACTATCCCGATGGGAGACCATAACTCCGAATTCGGAATGGACAACACCGGGTATCAAGATATCATGGGACGAAATGAAGTGACTGGAAAAAATGAACGAGAATGGTGACAGACTTGCGAATTTATGCTCATTCAACAAAATGGTTAAAGATGGCACAATATTCTCACACTATTACATGCACAAACCTACATGGGTCTCACCGAACCACACTACAGAGAATCACATCAATCATTTTTGCATCACTAAAAAACTTAGTAGGTCAATGGAAGACATGCGGACAAACAGAGGAGCTGACATAGCTTCAGATCACCACCTGGTTGTGGTCAAGATGAAACTGAAGTTAAAGAAGCACTAGATAACTGGAGAAACAGCATTACTAAGGTTCAATACATCCTTCCTTTGAGATACTGACAAACCCAACGAATTTAAGGTTGCTCTCAACAATAGGTTCCAAGACTTACAAGATCTACTCAACGTCAAAGAAACTATTATAGAGGACATTTGGAAGGCGATTAAAGAAGCACTAACTTCAACATGTCAGGAGGCTCTGGACTACAAGAAGCATCATCATAAGGAATGGATCTCTATCGCAACCCTGGTCAAGATTCAAGAAAGGAAGGACCGTTGTTGCTACCTTGACGTGGTGGTCGGGCTTGCCTATCGTGGTGAAGCAACCGAGCTATACTGGCTGGAACAACCGTTCCTCAAGGTCCTACCATGTCAGACAGGTCGGTTGAAGAGCGGTAAGACTAAAAGCAACAAACCTAAGGTCCGAAGGCGAAGTCGTACTGCTGACTGTACAGAGGTGTGACAGCAGTAAGGTGTTTCCTTCAGACAACCAGCATGACAGCGATGCTGCCTTCCCACAAGGAGGGGTGGGGTTAGAAAAGGTCGACCCTAAAAATGCACACCTCACCTTACCTCACGGATTTCCGTCTCCGGCGGTAAGGCCCTTTGAAGAACGGAGCTAACATGTCAAAAACCTTCCACGGAAAGGCCGTGCGCGACCGGCCTCAAGCAGTTGTCCCTTGGGCACTGCGGTTACGCTCTCAGGTCGCTGAGACCACCTCTAATCCAATTTCCTTTTCAGGTACCTCCAGAAGAACCCTTCCACGGTGTGGGCAACCGGGAAGTGATAACCGCCCTCATACCTCTAACAGCACCCAAGACCATTGTATTCATAATCAACCTTCCTCTTCGATTCCTATTATTCCTCCTGCATCGACTTTCAACCCTAAACTTCCTCCTTCGGCTTCTTTCTCAAGTGTCACCATAGCCAACGATTCTAGTGCTCAAAACTCTGTCCCAGGTCTACTGAAACCTCGCTCCAAACTACACATTGGAGCTTTCAACGTACGCACTTTATGTCAAATCGGTCAGCAGGTTTCCTTGGCTAAAACCCTAGAGTCTCTTTCCATTGATGTATGCTGTGTCTCCGAAACACGCATACAGGATTCCAGTGTGGTCATTCACTTGAACTCACCTCGGCAAAACGGAGAGCCAACGAGATACACCCTCCGTGTATCTGGTGACCCGATGGCCAGTTCTCGTGGACTGGCAGGTGTAGGCATAGCACTAAGCATGAGGGCGGAACAAGCACTGCTAGAGTGGATCCCCGTCAACAGTCGTCTATGTGCTGTTCGGCTAAACGTCTCCGTAAGAACTAGGAAGGATAGGGACACACGTCGTTGCCTTTTTGTCGTTTCTGCCTACGCTCCCACTGACTGCAGCTCAGATGATGTGAAAGATGAATTTTACAGAAAGTTATCTGAACTTCTTCAGAAAGCTAAACGCTCAGATATAGTACTCGTAGGGGGTGACTTTAATGCTCAGATAGGTAGGTTAAACCACACAGAAAGGCATTTAGGTGGATATTTTAGCATTCCGGCACAGCGAACAGATAATGGTGATCGTCTGCTGCAACTGTGCTCAGACAATCGCTTATTTTTAGCAAACACAAATTTTAAGCATAAGGAGAGACATCGTCTAACATGGCGACCCCCTACACCAAACCAACGATGGACTCAAATAGACCATATTGCCATCAGTCATCGTTGGAGAGGGTCGGTAGAAGATTGTCGCTCATTCTGGAGTACCTGCTTGGACTCCGACCACGCCCTAATACGGGCACGCATCTGCTTGCGCCTCATCGGACGCAAAAAAGCCACATTGAAAAGACCCATTAGAACTAAGTTGAGTAACGAGAAAACCAAAAATAGGTTCCAAGAACAACTGAGTTCACACTTAGGTAGTTCTGAAGACGAGGCTGACCCAGATATTGCTTGGAAAGACATACAAGCAGCTGTGGAAGCAGCAGTGACATCTATTAGCGACTTAAACCACAGAGTTTCAAAGAACCAGTGGATTTCTTCAAAGTCTATCACACTGATGGATTCTCGCAAATTCGTCCCATCAGGTTCCGAACATGATGAAGAGCGTAAACAAATCAGATCTAGGTTAAGAAAAAGTCTAAGAAACGACTGTGAGCAGTGGTGGGCAACGAAAGCAAAAGAGATGGAAAAGGCGGCGACTATAGGGAACACAAGATAACTTTACAGACTAATAAAAGAAACTGGAATTAATAAGTCAAGTGTAAGTGAGATTATATCGGAAAAAGATGATACTCTCATCTATTCCCAGTCCAGACGTTTAGAACGATGGGCGGAACATTTCAGAGAACAGTTCAGCTGGCCTTCAGCTACTCTACAACTACCCTCCATTCCTAGACAGCATGAATGGAACATTGAAGTAGGTCCCCCAACTCTTGCTGAAGTTCAAAAGGCTATAGATAATCTGAAACGAGGAAGGGCAGCTGGTCCAGATGGACTGACTCCAGAAGTCTTTAAGGATGGTGGTCCAATTTTAGCGATTATGTTGACTAATATTTTAGCTAAAATCTGGGAGTTAGACGTTATTCCATCTGACTGGTCACAATCACTTATCGTCCCAATATATAAGAAAGGGTCAAAATCATCCTGTGACAACCACAGAGGGATTAGTTTAACTAATATAATATCTAAAATACTAGCCTCGATAATTATCAGACGCCTAACTAAGACTCGTGAACTGCAAACACTGGAGAATCAAGCTGGCTTCAGACCTGGTCGTGGCTGCATCGACCACATATTCACCATTCGTCAGGTTCTAGAACACAGGCATACTTATCGATGTCCGACAATGGTGGTCTTTCTTGACTTAAAAGCAGCATTTGACTCGGTAGACCGCGAGGTTCTGTGGCAGTGTCTGTCATTGAAAGGCGTACCTCAGAAGTACATAAACCTTGTGAAGGCTCTTTACTCGAACACCACTAGTCGAGTGAGAGCTTATGGCGAACTGTCATCTACTTTTGCAACCTCAAGTGGTGTCCGTCAAGGATGTCCACTTTCCCCATTTTTGTTTAACTTCATCATAGACCTACTGATGGAAATAACATTCTCGTCGACTGAGTTCTCGGGTATTGATCTCCATCCAGGAGGTCCACTTATCGACTTAGAATACGCAGATGATATAGTCCTGTTCGGTGAAGACGCTGATAAAATGCAGAGTCTTTTGGTAGCACTAAGCAACAATGCCAGAATGTTTGGGATGCCTCTCTCCCTCTAAATGCAAATTGTTGCTTCAGGACTGGTCTGCGTCAACACCTGAACTAAGGATAGGGAGTGAAGTAGTCGAACGCGTTGACAACTTCACTTATCTTGGGAGTCTGATCAGCCTTAATGGGTTGGTATCGGACAAAATCTCAGCACGGATTCGAAAAGCTCGTTTGGCTTTTGCCAACTTGCGTCACTTATGGAGAAGGCGAGATATCCGTCTATCAATAAAAGGACGAGTATACTGCGCGGCAGTTCGTTCTGTCTTACTTTACGGCAGCGAAACATGGCCTTTAAGAGTAGAAGACACTCGTAAGCTACTACTATTTGACCATAGATGCCTTAGAAATATTGCTGGCATCTGCTGGGATCACTGGGTAAGTAATAGTGAGGTTAGACGCAGGGTATTAGGTAATGATGGTAAATCAGTTGATGAGGTTATGAATCTTCATCGGCTGAGATGGTTGGGTCACGTGTTACGTATGACTGAACACCGATTACCACGTCGTGCAATGCTAACGGGTGTTAGAGATGGTTGGAAGAGAATTAGGGGCGGCCAAACCAAAACGTGGCATCAGTGCTTGAAGACACTAACCCCTAGTCTGAGCCATGTTGGTAGATACAGACTACTTGGTTGGGGTCCGCGTGACTTTCGTAACCAATGGTTGGAGACTCTTGGTGACATGGCTCAGAACCGATCACAATGGCGTAGGTGTATACACTCCCTGTCTTCCCTCAAACTATGAGATTAAAAGCGCTTTATATCTTTCTTTCTACTAACCAATTCTTTCTTCTTGTACTATATCTCTATATGCAATCTTTCTCTTATGTATTATCACCTTTTACCTAACCACTGTTATGAATCCGGTGTTCATCTTGTTGTGCTGATGCGGTATGGCAACCTGGACCGATGCACACATGTGCCTGGTCCTACGTTGTAGCTGACTGACTGACTGACACCCGAATAAGAGCAGAGAAAGTTCAAGCACAAGCTGAATACACAGAAGCAAACAAGCATGTGTAGAAAAACATTAGAGCTGACAAGCAGAAATACGTGCAAGAGCTAGCAAAGACAACGGAAAAAGCTGCAAGAGAAGGAAATATGAGGCAGCTATATGACACAACGAAGAAACTAGCAGGGAAATATAGTAAACCAGAGAGACCGATCAAAGACAAAGAAGGCAAGCCAATCACTAAGATTCAAGAACGGAGGGACAGGTGTGTATCACACTTTGAGGAACTCTCGAATAGACCAGCCCCACTGAACCCACCGGAAATCGAAGTAGCACATACAGACACTCATAACTGTCACTCCACCAACGATCGAAGAAATCAAGAGTGGGTAAGCGGCGGGACCTGACAATATAACAGTCGAAGCAATGAAGTCAGACATAGAAGTAACTGCAAATATGCTCCATGTTCTATTCAGAAAGATTTGGGAGGAAGAACAAGTGCCGACAGACTGGAAAGAAGAACACTATCAAGATGCCAACGAAAGATATGAGCAAATGTAAGAACTACAAAGGCATCACACTCTGACAGGGGTGGAAACTCACGTATCTTGTCGGCTGTCACAATTCCTCTTATTACAACCCAGCTATTCCCATTGCTCAGTATTCTTGGGTACCGATTCACTTGACAAGTCCCCAAATCAGAACACGATCGAACAGGAAAGAAGTTATATTTCAAATAACAAGGGTAGATGGAAGTAAGAAGCCTAATAAAAAAACGTTATTATATATTTACAGTTTTTACGTGAAAAGATTCTAGAGTCTTCAAGTATCGATTAGCGCTGATTGAATAAGAAATAAACAATCAGCTTGAATCAACACAATCGTGCACGGAACATGCTTTAATCCAAACTATGACCCACTAACATCAGCATAATCAATTAACAAGGAGGATCTAATGCAGACATAAAGGCGAGGATTAGCAAAGCAAGGGAAGCATTCTTACAGTTGAAGAACATATGGAACTCAAAACAACTGTCGATCAATATAAAAGTCAGGATTTTCAATACGAACGTCAAGACAGTTCTACTGTACGGAGGACTACTACAACTATCATCAAAAAGGTACAATTATTTCTAAACAATTGTCTACGCAAGATACTCAATGTCTGTTGGCCGGATATCATCAGTAACGACCTGCTGTGGGAGAGAACAAACCATCTTCCAATTGAAGACGGAATTAGAAAAATACGTTGGAAGTGAATAGGACATACATTACGGCAAACATCAAACTGCATCACCGGGCCAAACCCTAACATGGAATCCTAAAGGGGAACGTAAAAAAGGATGGCTTAAAAACACATTGCACTGAGAATTGGAAGCAGAAATGAATAGGATGAATGGCAACTGGAAACAACGTGAAAGGATTGCCCAGGACAGAGTTGGATGGAGAATTCTGATGAGCGACCTATGTTTTTCCACGAAGTGTGACAGGAGTATGTAAGAATGCATTGACAGAGCTTTTTGCAATAGAAGATATTACGTTAAGGAAATATTTGTGCTGCAGTTGATCGAAATACCACTTTTATTTATTTACTACACGTTTTAGATTATGTTTAGACTTCTGGAGGCCATTTATGAATGCTACTTTTTATTTTTCTTGTTTCAGTCCCCAGCATTTAGTACTGGAAAAGTTACCAAAGGAGATGAAGTAATCGAAGTAAATGAACAAATAGTTGTAAGTATGTAATATATATATGTTCCTTTACGGTATGTTATATTAAAAATTGTCCGTATCCGCAGTTACTATGTGCAGTGTATTACTCACTATAATACGCTGAGTTACAAACATTCAGAAACTATTTAAGATTACTACTCAGTTGCTAACATCTCACTTCCTTATCGATATTTCGTGTTGACCACCTCAAGCAACAATGCAAGCATGTTCGAGATGCGGTTGTCCCCCTCGAAATGCAAAATGTTGCTTCAGGATAGGGTTGCATCGGCACTTGAACTAATGATAGGGAGTGAAGTAGTTGAGCGTGTTGACCACTTCACTTATCTCGGGAGTCTCATCAACCTTTGTGGTCTGGTGTATGACGAAATCTCAGCATGGATACAGAAGGCTCCACTAGCTTTTACCAAATTGCGTCACATATGGCGTAGGCGAGATGCCCGTCTGCCAAAAAAGGACAGGTTTACTGCTCAGCAGTTCGTTCCATTATGCTTTTTGGCTGTGAAATATGACCGGTAACAGTAGAGGATATTCATAGGTTGCTAGTATTCGATCATAGGTGTCTTTGAAAGACTGCTCGTATATCCTGGAACCACCGAGTAAGTAATGCAGTTGTTAGGAAACAGGTACTAGGTAAGGGTGGCAAATCAATTGAAGTAGTCAAACTTCATCAGTTGAGATGTCTGAGACATGTGCTACGTATGCCCAACCGCCAACGAGCGATGTTTTATGGTGTAGGAGTAGGTTGGAAGAAAGCTAGGGGCGACTAGATCACAACATGGCAAAAATCTATGAAGTCATTGACAAGTGGACTGAGCCATGTTGATAGGTGTAGACTACTTAGTTGGGATCCGCGAGACGATAGCAACCGATAGTTAGAGACCTTGAATGATATGGCTCAAATTCGTTTGCGATGGCGCAGGTGCGTCCACTCTTTGTGTTCTCCCAAATTCTAATCTTCTGAATTCTTCATGTCCCTTATTTTTTCTCTTTCCAAATTTATTTCACTGGATTATATTCCTTGAATAACATCTTCAAACCCTAATTTTTCCGATTACTGCTTATACTTTTACCTACCTCTACCACAATGGGATTTGAATCGACAACTGCATCTCTGTGCTAATGCGGTATATGGCAACTTGAACTGATGTACGAACGCACGAAGTTCTACGTCGTCGGTGATTAATTGACTGATATTTCATGTGACTTAATTTCCGTTTTCTTGTGAATTCAGCTTAAACTAAAAGTCCTCCCCTAAACTTTCATAGAACCTTCATAATAAGCGAACGTTTACTGTTTATCTCTGTTTTTTTATCAGATTGGTTGGCTTCACTATCGCGTCGCTGATTTAATGCGGCATTCTTCACAGCACATCAGTCTGCGATTGCGAAAGCGACCTTCTCATTCCAACGATTTTATTGGCTTTCCAGGAGCTGGGCGGCGTCATCGCCTAATAGTCAACCAGATACCACCTGCTGGGAGCCTATCCCAGACGCGAGGTGCGTATATATTTACAAGAAACCCGAAACGTCGTCTGCCTCTTACAGGCCCACTTTCTGCGGAACCTTTGTCTGTTACTCAAGAAACCACCTCCGATCAAACATCTGTTTCCTCACCTACATCAATATCTCCACCTGAATCCCAATCCATAGTTAGTGTGTCTGGGTTGCTTCCCTCTTCTCCGACCTCTTCTTTATCTGTGCATCAGGGTACATCAATAAAACTAAATGATGATCCTTGCAATCTAGAAAATCGTGTTCATATATCTTTTAGACCGAATTCCAGCAATGAATCCATAATTTACAATAACTCGAGGCTTATTGCTAGTACACCAAATACTCCATTAATGACTTTACGATCAATGGACTCGGTGTGTTCTCATTCTTCGCTATCGTTTCCACCCCACCTTCCACCTGCGCATCCTGGTACTACAACGTTTGACAACGGAATAAACGATACTAGTGTGGTCTCATCTGATATTCTATACTCAAAGTAAGTGACTATTGAGAAGACACATAAAGAAAATTGAGTAATTAATCTCAATATTTTTGGTTATTCCCAACCAAATTCTGTGAACTGGAATCACGATGAATTTGATGTTGAATTGCTATAGACAACTGGAAGAAAGTCATGGGATTAGGTTCTATGTTTAACACTCACCAGCAAAGGTATCCGCAACTGAGAAGCTTGTTCTTTCAGAAATTCAGACATTAACTATTCAGAAAATTTACTAATAGGTTATTCATATCTCAATAAAGCTTGTATAATTCTACCAAGCACACACCGGTCACTAAAAAGTAACCAGTACTACCTCTTTTCCATCTTACTGACGCAATTGCATCAATAAAATTTAGAACATAGCATCTACTGGCCGTTTCCAAACACTTAACATAATTGAATTTATTTGCAATATATTAATATTACTTCAAGAGCTCAAAAGTAGGTATGACCAATCCGGCCTCCATCTCTCACAATCTTTGTGGATATTTACTAATTTATAAGGTGTCGTAAAAGAGTAGTAGTATGCTGCAAACTACTGTACCATTGAGTAGATTAAATGAAAAGTCGATACACATATTTCTTATTTAGTAATACCCAAATTTTGCTCGTGACAGTAACCCTAGTTACTCGTTTTCTCATTATAAGCTAGATGATTAATAGATGTCACACTATGAATAATGCATTTTTAATTTATACCGCAACCCTAGATCAGTAAGAGTATAACTACTGAAAGCAATACTCTGTTGTTTTCGAATCGCCATACATCCGTTTGATTCATTGTCAATCGTCATTTACCTCATGTGCGAATTCACTTACTTTACTTTAAAAAAGAGGTTCATATATCGGGATTTAACGTGGAATTTTTCGTTTCTCTTTTTAACATGTTTCTATAGTATGCCTACTTTTTTAAGATATACATTTTGTTGCTTTCGTAGTTGAACGCTCTGCAAATGCGTCCGATCACACAGAATTTTCATTAAGTTCTATATTCTTGTAACTCTATTACGAGCAGATTCGCATTTCTAGTCAATGGACCTCTGGATGCAGCATTAACGATTAGCTACGGTTTATCAGACTCACTTTCATGATGACTACATATCTTGTGTGTATAACCTTTCGTATGATTTCATTTTCAGTTCATTTTTTATTGAACGTTTGGTTGTTTAGGTGTCATTACCAAGGTTTGATTTCATAATTTCGAATAAATTGAGCATTGGGTTCATTGTTATAAATAAAAATAATATATTTGTAATATCCCAATGAGAAGAAAATTGGATTTTCTGACGTTTCGTGACTTAGTGTAAGTCACTTCTTCAGAGAATAGATAACCAAATTAAAATTAATCCAAGTTTAAATAGTACCATTTAAATAGTACTATTTAAACTTGGATTAATTTTAATTTGGTTATCTATTCTCTGAAGAAGTGACTTACACTAAGTCACGAAACGTCAGAAAATCCAATTTTCTTCTCATTGGGATATTACAAATATATTATTTTTATTTATGTTTGGTTGTTTACATGATGAAAGTATTTGGATACAACTAGAACAAAGCTACTGTAGATAAGCATTTAGTCAGTCAGTAACAACGTAGAACTTCGTACGTACGCACATCAGTTCGAGTTGCCACACCACATTAGCACAGAGATGCAGTTGTCGACTCAAATCCCGCTGTGGTAGAGGCGGTAAGAGTATAAGCAGTAATCGGAAGGATTAGGGTTTGAAGATGTTATTTAAAGAGTATAATCCAGTGAAATAAGGGTTAGGGGAAAACAGATTTATTAATAAGTTCCATACAACGTTAATTTGAAATTTCTTCCAAGTATAATCTGGTTCTTGACATTAAGTGCCGTTCGTTCTGAAACCCAGAAACATTAATTATTTTTTGGGGAGTTCATAAGGTAAAAAGATTATAGTTTATTACCCTATTGTTTGGAACTATGTTTTGTAATTTATTTAACTCGGTTGATATTTTTTGATAATATGAAGAACACGATAATAACCTAAGGAATATAACTAGTGGTGAGAATTATGTACTGTTGTAGTATAGATGTAGAAAGATTTATTTTCAGACAACTTTTGTACTTCAATTAGTCTTAGATTATTCTAATCATATGAGATATTCTGAACTAACTTTTTAGTACTGTTATTTTCATAATAACGGACTAAATCATATTTTTCCTTGCATTATCCATAGAAAATACAAGTCTGTCAATACTTCTCATCATATTCGCTCAACTTCTTGTTCTTCAAACAAATCTGTTTTTCCTCGTTTTTCCCTAACACATCGACGCACAGCTTCTGGTGACCCAAAACTGATGGATAGTATATCTAGTGGCAACGGGGAAGGTTAGTGAGTAGTGTGGTGATGTCATAGTGTTTTGTATTGGAATAAATATTTTTAATTTTGCTAGAAGTGACACGAGTGCGTGTTTTAATCGTAATATCTGGTTTATCAGGTTTCCACATTCATTGTCGTGAGCTATAAAATTTTAAAGTATTCGTTTTCAGTATTTTATTAACTGCTTAGTGTCAAAAGTCTTTTTGTTTCAGTAGTTTAAAAGATCTCTATACCATTATTACTAAACGACTGTAGATCCAATGAGACACATACATATTTTACTTTCTAAATCGAGCATTTTACTTGCTACAAAGTCAAGATTTCACTTGAATAAATATCTCTACTAGTAATCTTGTAAGCTTGATTTTTCCTTACAAATTAGACATTCAAAACATACTAGACTTGTTCTTTTTAATTTGTATGCCTAAGTAAAGCTCCAAGAACGAACAATAGTTGATAATCTCTTCCTGAGTAATTTGTTCTAGTTCAAAGTTATTCAAAAGTATAGTCTTAGTAGATAGGGTAAATAGATACTAATTCTTTTGAACAATTCGAGTGAAAATATGACCATGTCTACCACTAAACTTTGTGCAAAGTAAGTAAAATTTCAGTTACTGAAGTACATGATGCGCGTGCTGATTTATCATCATTAGGTTGAGAAATAGTAGTTACGAAAAATGCTAGGTTTGGTCAAAACATAATGTGATAGAAATCTACGAAATCATTGAGTGATAGTCAGTTTTGTAAATCTGATGTATATGCCTGCGATGGAGACTGATTAGTATGACTAGAAAATCGGTCCAATCTTGCAGATCTGGCAACTATTTCTCTTATTTGAAATCATAATAACCTTGTTATTCCGTATCTTTTCTTCCCTCCGTTCATTACTTTGCTTTTATCTCCTAGTTTGTTTCATACCTTCAATTTTGTTATTTTGTATTACATAACTGGAGGCAATCAGAAAATTCTACGTAAAAGTTTTGTCCAGCCCGATACTTAAGGAGCTTATATATTCGTTTCTCAGATATTTGAAGCTTCATCATACAGTGCAGCAGTTAAGGACATTACCAACCAGCTGCGGATTCGTTGGTACGGCCGAGAGTTGGGAGAGTCCATTCAAAGCACCTTCATACGCTCATGTGTTTATAGCCACTATCAAGAAAGTTCTCATTCTCTTCATTCTATGAGGTTGTTTTTTCTTACGGAAATAAGAGGACGAAAAGCAAACATCCAGATCTTATATTAGGCCGGTGGATACATAGAATCCACTCAGAGAAGTCGGAAAACCTTGATTCCAAACCAAAGGTGCACATAAGTTCTAGGATCCTGAGGAGTCGGATAGTGTATAAACCTATTTTGATCACTGGTTACCATGGGACGACGTCTGTTAACGTTTTGAGTTTCACAGAAAACTTTACAACCTCCTTCATTAGGCTAGGTGCTAAGGCGTAATATTCATAGCAAGTGGCTTTAACTCCTAAGTTGGTGGGCCAAGTCAAAATTCAAAACACTTAGGTGGAGACCCAGGCCAACAAACAGAAAACGGTTACTGTCTACCGTAATGCCGGCCAAACAACCGATTATTCTTAGCAAGTATAAACTTTAAGTCGGAGGAAAGACTATCTAAACTGGTGATCTCTAACATCAAAACGGTGGACACAAATAGAGCATGTCTTCACCAGCCATTATTCGAGAGGCTCAATAAAAGACCGCTTCTCCTGCTGAAGTACATGGGTGAACTCTAAACACTCGGTGCCGAAACTCTTCATTACTAATATGGTGTTCCCACTAAATGTCAGCAGTTGTTCGGAGACAACGATCGTCTAACACTCTCAACTCGGAGAGGCCAGGTTTCACAAATATAGAACAAAACTGCTCTCACTTTTTGTAGCCGAACTAACATCACGAAGGCGCCAAATATGGCCCAGATTGGCATAAACCGCTCTGGCTTTCACTGTACGTGAATTGGTCTCATCACTCACGCCACCACCAACACTTACTCAGCTACCCAGATACACGAACTTCACTACTTCTGTGTGCTCACTACCCAAGATGAATACCAGTTTTGTAGAAGTACTTTGTAATTCGGAGGTGCAAAGCACATACCATACCTACGGATACTAATTGCCAACTGATTAAGTGCGGATTGCATGGCTTGGGCATTATTGCACAGTAAGACAATATCATCCGCATACTCAAAGTCGAAAAATCTTTCTTCAACCAACAAATCCACACCATCCATCAGAGCTGTTTGCAGAACGTCATCGATGATAAAGTTGAAGAGGAATGGTGAAATTGGGCAACCCAGTCCCAGTGCTTGAATGGAACGGTGGAGAGAGGTGGTTCTATCCCCTCACTTTGCCTAAGGTGTTTGTATATAGGGCTTTTAAGATGTTAGTAAACTTTTCAGACACACCCTTCTTCAATAGACCATCCTAGAGAACAGTCCTGTCCACGAATTGAAGGCAGCCCTGATGTCAAGAAACACTACGATTATTAGCCTCTAATACGTATGACGGTGTTCTAACGTTTTGGCGGAGGGTAAAGGTATGATCAATACATCATCGACGAGAACGGAAATCAGCCTGCTCCTCACGAGTTCTGAACAATCTATGAAGCATAACGGAAGCCAATAGTTTGGACGCAATCGTAAGTAGACTTATCCCCCGAAAGTTGTTACAGAACCAGCAGCCAGTGCTCTTCTATACTTTTTGATAGGCTGTTAGGTAGCCTTGAACCTAGCTCGGTTCAATATTTAGTTGCAACAGAAGCTGCAACCAATTTGCTGACATCGATCCGTCTGGGGAATTTTCACGAAGACCGAGAAAGTTGGTGGTCAAAATGTGCCAGATTTGAAAACAGCAGCTTCTAGCAAATGTAGAGAGCTATTTCAACTCATCCGAACCACTGGCAGCAAGAAGTCTAGTGTGAGTTGATGAAATGCCAGTTAACAACATCCGACGACGACTTACACAGTGGGCAGTTTTCCGAGAAATAATCCAGCTAGTCTGTTGCCCCATCATTGTCAATCCCACTATCTTGTACTCCATGGCCGGTTACGACCGATACAACTAGAAGAAAATGCTCAAGAAACTCCAACTCTTGAAGCACCATAGACCACAAGTCACTAATCTCAGACGACTCTTTTTCATGACGTAGGTGATCCGAGATCTGATGCTGATACACAACGTGCTACGCGCTAAACCCTCAACTGAATAATTGAGCGAGGAAACAAAAGTGGGAGAGAAAGTCTATTGGGTTACCAAATGACACGTATAAATACTTATTCGTATATATTACATCTCTAAGCCTTAATAAATCAAACCATCTCTTAGCCAAAGGTGTGCATTTATCCGTTGGGACTTGTCTAATTGTCAACAAGTGGTCTCATTTTGTTACTTTTGATTGACTCTTCAGATTACGGGGCGAACCACTGGTAGGAAAATTGATTGGGTTTTTTTTTAAGGGTCTGACAACTAGAGAGTGTTATAACATGCTAAAATGAAGTGGCAATCGCCTCCATTTTTAGAAATGTCCTATGTCATCTATGCAACAACTATCGGGGAATACGTTAACTGCCGTTTGCGTCCAAGTGATTGGCTTCCATCATGCTTTGCAGATTGTTTGAAACATTCGATCGATTGACTTATGAAGAGCGGGACACTTTTTGATCAGATTGTGGGTGTATTGAGTTTGTAGGCTTTTACAATGTAATCATCAAAAATAATAAATTGCTCTTCAACTGGGAGCTTGATAGTCGCCTCTATACTGTCAATTCAGAAAAACGTTTTGTCCATAATTTTCTAAAGTTCAAACTCAAATTAATAGTGATGTTTCTTTTATACATATTTTTTTAAATCTTCCCAGATACATTATTTCAGAAAAAACCGAGTCCTTCTTCTTCGCTTCGTCACTGTAGTAGTTCATCTAAGTTTCATGCTCTGGATAAACGCTATAGAAACGTAAGTTTTACAAGTGAATTCCTTGACAAGACTCACTATACGTACTCTACAAAAATAGATTAGAAATATAAGATATTAGACTAAAAGCAATATGGGATTGTTCCATTTACTATAAGCTTTCAGTTAACTCATTACTTACTATTATACAACCTACTATCTCTAATTTCCTGCCGGTCTGTTGATTACAACTTGCTTTTTCATTGCCATTCATGGCTCGTTCCTGTATGGTTGTTATTTTTTATTTTGTGATGTGACTGCGACCTGGTAGGACTGTAATAAAAGCTACATCTGTTTGAAATATCAATACAGTAGAAGCTGATTGCTGAATTCTTTAAGCTCAAGGCCAGATTTAAAGAGAAGTCTGCGAACTGCGGGCCAATAAGAACTCAGTTGTTTCAGGTCAAAGTCAGGTGATGGTAGGGCATGTAATTGGTCAAGTCAGAGAAGCTAAGTTATAGATGTAGTAGACGCATAAAATTCTGTTTAGTGACCTTAGCACGTGGTATTGGTCAGCGTTTCAAGATACAATCATAACATTACTTAGTTACATACTCCTGTTACTCCTCGTGAAGAAACATAGGCCGCTCACTAACATCCTCCATCCAACCCTGTCCTGGGCAATCCTTTCCATCCCCTTCCAGTTCTTATTCATCCTTTTCATATCTGCTTCTATTATCCGACGTAATGTGTTCTTTGGCCTTCCTCTTTTCCACTTCCCTTCAGGAATCCAGGTTAGGGCTTGCCCCGTGACGCAGTTTGATGATTTGCGTAATGTATATCCTATCCATTTCCATCATCTTTTCCTAATTTCTTCTTCAGTTGGAAGCTGGTTTGTTCTCTCCCAGAGAAGGCTGTTGCTGATGGTATCCGGCCAATGGATGTTGAGTATCTTGCGTAGACAGCTATTTATAAATACTTGTACCTTCTTGATGGTGGTTGTTGTAGTTCTCCAAGTTTCAGCTCCATACAGTAGAACTGCCTTGACGTTCGTATAAAAGATTCTCACTTTGATATTGGTTGAAAGTTGTTCTGAGTTCCATATGTTCTCCAGTTGTAGGAATGCGGCCCTTGCTTTGCCAATCCTCGCCTTTACGTCTGCATCTGAGCCTCCTTGTTCATCGATGATGCTTCCCAGGTATATGAAGGATTCTACATCTTCCAGAGTTTCGCCATCAAGAGTGATTGGATTGCTGTGCTCTGTGTTGTATTTGAGGACCTTGGTTTTCCCCTTGTGTATGTTGAGGCCTACTGATGCAAAGACTGCTGCTACGCTGGCTGTCTTTATCTGCATTTGTTCGTGTGTATGCGATAGGAGGGCTAGGTCATCTGTGTTAGGATATTCGGAAAGATATACCAATAATTATCGTGTTAAGTCTAATGGTGTCCTTGGAAGTTAAATGGACATTCCCTATTGGTCAATATTTATTTCACTTGTTAAATATTCTACAAATGTTGTTTTCTATTTTATGGTACGATGTGGTTTGTTTGATTGATATATAAACCGAGTATGTTTGGAATATAACGATTCATATCTCAGAGGCTGAGACTTGTGTTCTGGACTCAACTGGCTGGAATAAACAGCGAAGCAGGGCCAATCGGAACTCTAGGTCGTTCTTACGGGTTTTACGTGGCGTTGATCCGATCGATAAATACGCTGCGCATCTAAATCTGCAGTCACAAACCACAACAATCTGCGAAGTCCAAATCGTCTAATTGGTTCTGAGCTATCTGTTGTTTTCCGTGTTTTCCCTCAGATGTCGAGGTCTTCATTATACAGTCGACCACCAGAAGAAAGAGGAAGAGAGAGAGTAGACAGCCTTGTCTGACTCCGGTCCTTACTTGAAATGCGTCTATCAGCTGTCCTCCATGCACGACCTTGCACTATAGTCCGTCTTTATGAATTCCGAAGAATGTTGACAATCTTCTCAGGAACTCCGCAGTGTCGAAGAAGTTTCCATGACGTTCTCCTATCTACACTGTTAAATGCCTTTTCATAATCAACGAAGTTGATGTACAGTGACGAGTTCCACTCAACTGATTGTTCGACGATTATCCATATTGTTGCAATTTGGTCTGTGCACGATCGATCCTTACGGAATCCAGCTTGCTGATTTCGAAATTGGGCGTCCACTGCGTCCTTCATGCGGTTTAGCAACACTGTTAAAGACTCTCCTTGGTATTGACAGTAGTGTAATGCCTCTGTAGTTATCACATTTGCTTGGATCTCCTTTCTTCGGGATCTTGACGAGGTGTCCTTCTTTCCAGTCCATCGGTACTTGTTCCTCCTTCCAAATCTTTTTGAATAGAAGGTAAAGCATGTTTTTAGTTACTTCGATGTCTGACTTCAGTGCTCCAGCTGGTATGTTGTCGTGTCCTGCTGCTTTCCCGCTCTTAAATTGTAAGATGGCCATTCTGATTTCTTCCGTCGTTGGTGGATTGACATCTATAGGAAGATCTGTGTGTGCTGCTTCGATATTCGGTGGATCCATTGTAGCCGGTCTATTCAGGAGTTCCTCAAAGTACTTTACCTTTCTGTTCGGCCGTTGGTGAATTTCAGTGATTGGCCTGCCTTCTTTGTCTTTGACCGGTCTCTCTGGTTTACTATATTTCCCTGCTAGTTTCTTCGTTGTGTCATATAGCTGCCTCATATTTCCTTCTCTTGCAGCTTTTTCGGTTGTCTTTGCTAGCTCTTGCACGTATTTCTGCTTGTCAGCTCTAATGTTTTTCTACACATGCTTGTTTGCTTCTGTGTATTCAGCTTGTGCTTGAACTTTCTCTGCTCTTATTCGGGTGTTGTTAACTGCTGTCTTTTTGTTCTTCCTTTCTTGAATCTTGACCAGGGTTGCGATAGAGATCCATTCCTTATGACGATGCTTCTTTAGGCCCAGAACCTCTTGACATGTTAAAGTTAATGCTTCTTTGATGCCTTTCCAGTTGTCCTCCATAGTAGTTTCTCCTTCCATCAGTAGATCCTGTAAGGCTTGGAACCTGTTGTTGAGAGCCTGTAGCTCTTCTAGAGTTACTACCGGTCTCAAGTACGAGTAAAGGAGAAGGGTCGGGTATTGGGTTAGCGACCCCATCCCGTAGAAAACTAACTCGTTAAAAAACACTAACCAGAAAAAATAATTCAAATCATAACATTACTATATCATTATCTACCCTTAAGTATCCCACTCAATATCATTTTGTGCGTGTTTTATTTTTACAGCTTCATCGTTCTAGTCTTGATGATTTCATGCTTTTTTTAAAACATGGATTTGGATCAAGAAAACCAAGTAAGTTCTACTTATTCTTCTTTTGCTAATATCCCAATCCTGTTCTGCTTCGAAATTAATAAATCCCAGCATGTGTAATAAACTAATACGTAAACAGCTTACACGGACATTTTAACATTGTTTCTGTTTAAAGTTATAATTTTCATAATCGTTTTCCAGCGGGTAGCTTACTAATTAAAATAGCCGGTTATCAATTAATGTTACTTAAAAAACGATGAATGCGAGCCACTCACTTTGATTCAAGCAAATTTTTTAAAACATTAAATATGTTCTGTCTTGTCTAAAATCAGAATCACCGTGCTATTCTTTAAAAATTTTATATGGATTGGTCGGTTTATTTACTCTATTGAAACTGGTCGTAGATTGAAAAGAGGGTTGTGATATTTAAGTACAAGCTCATTGCCTTGTACCCAGGAGATCGAAAATTTCGAATTCTACTTACTTACGGTATGGTGTTGTAGAGATAGCTGAGTTTGATTGAAATCATGGACGGATCAACATTAGACCATCGTTGGTCGGTTCATGATTTCAATGAAACTCCACTAATTTAATTGAGCTTATTTATTGAAACCTTACCATTGACAAGTTGTTCCGTGGTGCATTTAGGGTAATATTTGTCCTATACTTAACCGAAGTCGTTGATGGATAAAGAGAAATTATTTTTTACAAATTTTAAGTGAAAAGGTAATCGAACTTCATGGTAAACATGCATAACACTTTTGGGTCTTTCAACGCAATGAAAAAACCAATAAAAGCAGTACATTGACTTCTTTTTATGTCCACTGTTTTCACTGCTTTCTATGGATTTTTAATTTCATGTTTACATATAGCTCGTCGTATATCCTGCAAGGATCTTGGACAAGGTGATTGTCAAGGCTGGCTTTGGTTGAAGAAAACCAACCCACTTACCAGTAAATATGTGAAGCGATGGTGTGTTTACAAAAACTCAACGTTCTATTATTACAGAAATCCTGAAGTAAAGTTCTAACTTGTTTGTTAAAAATAGGAAAATATTTGTTTCCCTTATTTTAGGATGATTCAGCTGAAGGTTTAATTCTGTTACATGGTTTCACAATCACTCCTGCAGTCTCAGCGAAATCGGGAAAATTGTAAGTCGTTTCAATTGCACCTGTTAGAATTGTAGGATGTGCTCAATATAGACCCATCAACTACAGAACTTGTAGGAGACTAATACATGGTATTCTCGCCTTAAGATTTGCTAGTCGATTGCTACAGTATATCGTCTTTGCTAGTTTCTAACACAAATCCATGGGCTTGCTGAGCTTCCAGCTTAAAAAGCCGTTCATAGTTAATTTACGTACGAAGAATATCATGGTTTAACATAGTAATTATAAGTTGAAGAGACATTTAAGTAAAACATTTGTTACACGATGCAGCAACCCTTAAGAAGCCCCGTCCCACTTTTTCGAAGCTGTAGATTGATGATTCAAAATCATCAGTGCAACGTAATATTGCCCTTTTGTAGTTCATTTCAGTCATGCTGTGCAGTCGAGACATTTCTCTGTATGTTGGTTGGCTTGTATGTGTGATCAATGCATTCTGCATTACAGATATACTCCAGTAAGCGAAGATTCAGGTACGGTAAATTAATTTTTTGTTTTATGCAAAATCAAACAGTAGCTTTGTAAAACACGAAAATCATACATTGAGTGCATCACTTGCACATCTTTTTTTCAGTTGTCCCTTACATCTTCATCCTAGTGACATTCTACTTCCAATTCCCGCTACATAATGCTTATGTCCGTCTAAATAGGTAGTGCATACGATAATACTACATAATAGTTTGAGGGTTAGAAATTGATATACGTGTATCGGAGATTCCTTTTTATTTAAACACTGATTTAACCATAACTATCTACCTACTAATTGCTATTATTAATAACACACAAACCATAGTTATATGATTTACCTAACTAGTACTATTATGGTGCTCCGATCCTGACCATCGCTGCTTCCTTGACGTGGTGGTCGGGCTTGCCTATCGTGACAAACCAATAGAGCTATACCGGCTGGAACAGTCGTTCCTCAAGGTTCTATCATGTCAGACAATTCGGTTGAAGAACAGTAAGACTAAAAGCAGCAAACCCAAGGTCCGAGGGTGAAGTTGTACCGCTGACTGTACAGAGGTGTGACGGCAGTAAGGTGTTTCCCTCAGACAACCAGCATGACAGCGATGCTGCCTTCCCACAAGGAGGGGTGGGGTTAGAAAAGGTCGACCCTAACAAATACACACCACGCCTTGTCCCAGAGATACGGTCTCCAGCATTAAGGTCCCAACAATTACGGAGCTAACACAAAAAGGTGTGACCTACCTCAAGCACCATGGTCACGCTTTCAGGTCACTAAGACCACCCCTAACCTCATTTACTTTCCAGGTACACCTCCAGAAGAACCCCTCCACGGTGTGAGCAACCGGGAAGTGATGACTGCCATCATACACTCAAGATCACTGGTGTTCTAATTTCGTAGCTCTGTTAATCTAGATTTCCGGAAATAAAAAAGCTGTTTCAAACGAATAACTTGGGTTAGTTAATTTGAATAGCTCTCAGTAATGTCATGTGGTTTTTCATATTTCATTCATGTTAGTGCATTCTCAATTTTCAATGATTGGGTTCGCTTTGTGTTCGCTTCTGATTCTGAAATCGACCGATCAAAATGGATGAATAAGTTAGGCCTAGCTTCAATCGGTTTGTCATCTACCATACCAAATTCTCGTATTGGTGGTTTCAATCCTGGTTACGTGGTTTTATGTGACTCGAAAAATAACGAAGTAAAAGCTGAAATTCCGCATCCACATTCATGCACCGTCTTATCAGATTCACCCACTAAAAATTTCCAAGGCGACAACACATCTGGACTTCGATCTCAGACCTTATCAACTTCCAAAACTACAGATTTCGCAGAAAACTCTTTAACAGTGGTGACTTCCCAGGTCAGTCAATCCTGTTAACCACACAGTTGTTTATAAGTGCTATGTCTGTTTTAGTGCCGAAATTTAATTCATCCTGAACTGATTTATCTTTGGTTGTTTAGTGTCTAGTTTAGTATCATGATTTTCCTATTTTTCAGCCTGTGTCAACCCCTCCAAGGCATGTAACACTACATTCAGTTTCATCACCATCATTTTCTACGTTTGATTTGCGTTCGAATTCTTTACCATCTGAACCCCGTGCTGTCCGCTCTATAATTTTTCCTCGGAATAGTGCTCTACCACCCTCAATCGGACATTCATCTCCTGCTCACACTAGAACTAGGCATCGTCAACCACTTGAAATCCCTTCAGTAGCATTCGGATGCTATAGTGAGAGTGAAGATGAAATAGACGAGGATGTTGAAGCCGAATGTGATGTGGATGACAACTGTATCTCTGAGGGAGGCGCACAACTAAATCTTCGAAACCGACCAGGCTCTGCATCCCCATCACATGAACGAAGATATGTTATTTTAAACAGTACAGAAGAAAATGAATGTTTACAAGAATATAAAAAGCTGATTTCATGTAAAAGTGAACTACATGTGTCCGATGTACATGCTTCAATGCCTTTATCACGTCCATTACGAGCTGCGCATATCATTACGAAAAATCTCCATTGTTCTGATAAACTTTTAGGCGTCGAAAAGATTGTTGGCTTAAGAAACGACGAACCAGTCCCCGAATGCAGCAGTAGGCGTTTTAATAACTGATACTGAAAAGCTCAAATTTAAGTTACCATAATCATCTTTGACCATTCACTGTTGAATCTTGTCACTTATTTTTTGAATTTTACTTCATTTTCATTCTGACTTTATCTTTTGTGAAATATCTCATGCTATGTAATTATCCCCAGTGTTTTTAATCCGAGAAAGTCCTTTTAATAGAATTGGATGCAATTAGTCAGTTGCAACGTAGGACCAGGCATATACATGCATCGATACAAGTTGCCACACCTCATTAGCACAGTAAGACGAACACTGGATTCATAGAAGCAGTTAACTGATTAGTGTAATATATAAAGAAAAGATTCTATGTAAGGTTATAGTACATAAAGATACGAAATAATTTTAATCTCATAGTTTATGGGAAGATAGAAAGTGTATACACCTACGCCATTGTGATCATTTCTGAGCCATGTCACCCACAGTCTCCGAACATTGGTTAAGATAGTCGCGCGGACCCCAATCAAGTATTCTGCATCTATCAACATGGCTAAGATTAGAAGTTAGTGACTTCAAGCACTGATGCCACGTTTTGGCTAGAACTCTCCCAACAATCCCCGACAGTAGTCAGCATTGAACGTTGTAGTAATCTGTGTTCAGGTATACTTAACATTTTGCTCAGTCAACGAAGATTCACAACTTCAACCGATTTAACATCATTCCTTCATGCCGTGTCTAACCTCGCTATTACTTACCCGATGATCCCAGCAAAGGCGAGCAATATTTATAAATCATATGTGGTCAAATACTAGTAGCTTACGAGTATCTTCTACTCTTAATAGCCACGTTTCGCAGCCGTTGCTACCTTGACGTGGTGGCCGGGCTTGCCTATCGTGACAAACCAATAGAGCTATACCGGCTGGAACAGTCGTTCCTCAAGGTTCTACCATGTCAGACAAGTCGGTTGAAGAACAGTAAGACTAAAAGCAGCAAACCCAAGGTCCGAGGGTGAAGTTGTACCGCTGACTGTACAGAGGTGTGACGGCAGTAAGGTGTTTCCCTCAGACAACCAGCATGACAGCGATGCTGCCTTCCCACAAGGTCGACCGTAATCCCAGGGATATCCATCTCCGGCGTTAAGGTTTCAACAACTGCGTAGCTAACACGAAAATTACTCACACAAAGGTCGCGTTTGACCGATTTCAGCAGTTGTCCCTTGGGTACTGTGGTCACGCTTTCAGATTCACTAAGATCACCCCTAACCTAATTTACTTTTCAGGTACCTCCAGAAGAACCCTTCCACGATGTGAGCAACCGGGAAGTGATGACTGCCATCATATCTCTAACAGCATTCAAGACCACTGTTTTCATAATCAACCTCTTTCTTCAGTTCTAGTTATCCCTTTTACATAGACCTTCAACACTAAGCTTCCTCTTTTGGCTTCCCTCATCAAGTGTCACCATGGCCAGCGACTCTAGTGCGCAAAACACTGTCGCAGGTCTACTGAAACCGCTCCAAACTACACATTGGAACCTTCGACGTACGCACCCTTGGTGAAATCAGTAGTAGACCTCGTTTGCTGAAACTCAAGTATTTCATACCACTGATGTATGCTGTGTCTCCGAAACACGCATACAGGATCCTAGTGCGGTCATTCACTTGACCTAACCTCGCCAAAACGGAGAGCCGACGAGATACACCCGCTGTTTATCTGGCTACCCGATGGCTAGTTCTCGTGAACTGACAGGTGTAGGCATAGCACTGTGTACGAGGGCGGAACAAGCACTATTAGAGTGGATCCCCGTCGTTTATGTGCTGTTCGGCTAATAATTCGATGCACAACTTACCTGGATTTTACTGAGCTCAGTATTTTTAAAAATAAATTTGGCATTTGGTCTACTATAACAGTTACCTTTAGGTGAAACGTGAGCATGAAAGCTAACAAAGCACATATAGCAAATAGTGTAGCATTTACTATAAAACGTTTCAATCCTAACCGGATAAATATCTTTTAGTGATGAGGGAAATAATGTCGGTCTGTTATTTACCATGGGTTACATTTCGTATTATTTATTATTACACATCGTTTTACAAGGAAAAAACTAAAAGCCACCGTTGAAATCTACCAAACTATCAAACCTTAAAAATGAACAGTGAATCAACCGATTGGTAATATCATTAATTTTTTTTAATACGTCATAACAAATGTATAAGTTTGGTTTGGTTACACAAACTAGATATGAAAGCCAAGAATGTTAATAAATAAACAAAGCACCACAGACAATATTCATACAAATCAAATCGGGGGCAGTTAGTAAAATTAACCTATAGATATTGACAACAGCGACGTCATTATTAGGTACCAAAAATTCAAAGACTAGTAATTGCGATAACAATCCATATTATTCTTTCCATGTGAGTGACATTGCAGTTTGTAAGAAGGAGTATATATCTACTACCTCGTTAATCTGAAATGCAAATCATCACGGTATGTATAGAAATGCAAGGTACAATAAATGAGTATTAAAAATGGTTTACTATACATATTTATAAATATTTCAGTAACGTTGACATAGAATATATGCACAAGAAGAATAAAATGTGCTTGATAATACTTATTATTACAACAGTGAAGGTGACAGACAGGCAAACTTTTTAAATACATACTAAGACGTGAACATGAGTTTTCATCGAGTTGGACATATGTTGGTTGCATTTGTATCAGTGAAAATTCGATAATTAATCAATCCTTTATAACACGAAACTGATCAGAACACCTACCATTCAGATCTTCTTTGTATTTTACATAGGTTAATGGGTATTGAGATATTGCTTAAGATCTGGAGTTTTAAATAAACTGTGGAAGCGCAAGGGAGTATTAAGTCTACCCTTCAACTAGTGCCCTCAATTAGATGAACGAATCGCTAAATGAAAATACTGTGGTCATCCAACATCCATATTTCAGATAAACCAGTCGATTAAAATCTTCATAAAGCCTAGCATAGATGTGCGTCAACCCTAGTAGTCATACCACCTCAGGACGATGAAAGGATATTACCAAGACAGATAGCAAGTATCAGCAGTAAAAAAATACAGAACAATTACGTATGAAATAGTACTGTAACTCAAGATCCACCACGACATAGTCCAGTAGTCCGTGATTTCGTGGATTAATGCTTAATCTTGGTTTGGGCGCCTCTACCTCACTTTAAACCTACTACCAGTCTAGCCATTATTCTACGTTATGGTTGTCGGTAGTTGGTCATACTTATCACATGTCCCAGGTATCTTAGTTACAACACCATTAATTGATTTAGCATCTCTGCCTAGTATCCTACAACTAACCTCAGCATTGCTCATTCGTTTATTGTATAACATGCGGGGAATGGTATTAGGGCACCTTTAACCGAATATTTGCAGCCTGCTCCATACTTTGGTACTTGGCAACAAGCGGTTGATTGAGTATGCAACAGACGATTAGTTGTTTGCTTGGTGGGTTGTGACGCTAACACAACGAGCTATTTTTCAGCGTGATAACGGAGTAGGTATAAAACGATGAAAAGCTAATGCGATTCACCTGTCTTTATGAGTTGTAAATCGGAAAGAGAAAAGCACTGTCATCAGTAATCTTTATAGAAAGCTCTCATTCAAAATGTCTGTTACAAGATCACGAGTGGTCGTTGTAAAGTCTCCTGGTATACGAAGGATGTGCCGTATTAGATTTTTTATTTGTCAGACGAGATCACGTGAATGACCACACTTCAATTCTGTACGCGAGCTCAGGAGAAACGTGTGCCGATCGCTCGAGATTCTAGAGTTTTAGCTCAACAAGCTTGTTGTCAGATTTGACACAAGGTCTAGACATTGAAAACTCACGTAGTTTGGAGCGACATTTCGAGATACCGGGAATAACATTTCGCGAAATTCAATGGATGATAGAAAAAGCTGAGTTGGTAATGGTTTTGACGACTTGGGAGCCTAATTGAAACGTCTAAAACAGTACTGCAAGTCGGTCAAAGCCTTTTGTGAATAGTTTACGACGTGCTAGTGACAAGCTTTCAATTCTCTGCATGGTCAAGATTTACAAGCTTTTCTCTTGTGTTGTGAGAAGCCAGGATCACTGGAGACACTCGTTATCCGTTACTATCATCTTGTCCCAATGTGTTTGGCAGTATGACTTAGCACCCAGATTCTAGATTTTTGTTACTTCAACGATTCTTGATTGGATTATTTATTTGCTTGTAAACTTACTGATTTTGATGTTGGTTTGCCTTGTCCATGTCCAGCCTTTGGCTCAATTCGAATCAGAATAGGGTTTGTTTGGTGACAGTTGTGACATAATTTTTCTTGTAAAGTAGCAATAAACTTAAATGAGTGTAACGGAACAACACGATCATCATGATCTGCAGTTAAAATCAACAATGCTGGATATTGAACATCTGGATTAGATGGAATCTTGACATTATGGAGTGGGGAAATGCTGTAAGAAGCAAAACATATTTACACATGATTTCTGTTACAAATTGTTGCAACAATATACTCAGTGAATAAATGTACAAGTATATTAGTGATTAACGAACGTTAATGGTATTAATATGGTGTTACGGATTATTCGGATTTTCCAACCATAATATTATTGATATTAACAAGAGTGTGTAGATAAGCACAACTCAGAATCATATAAGATGCTAGAATTTTCTTGACCGATAATTCTTTTTTGTCAGCGAGATATTAAAACTGATTACTATCTTTTTACACAAGAACCTACTGTGAAATCGAAGAATAATCTAGAGTTAAATTATTTCGACAACACCTTAAACAACGGCTCTAATTGTTAAGTTAATCATACTTGTATGGGACTACAAAGCCTATTAATATCAACTGAAGAATATGATTAGTTTATTCGCATATTGGATCAGTTTTTAGTTTCTGTGAGGAATTTTGAAAGAGTGTACAGAAAAAGAACTAGTAAATTTGGCAAGCAATACTGAATCAGGCTTATACGAACTCCCTTATAATACTGGGGTGTATATTTATCATAATGTTCAAAGTATTTGAGAAAAATAAACTAGGAGGAATAATAAGCTATACATTCTATTCGTTTGGACGATTTTGCGTTTTTATATATCCTCGAATTTTATCAAATAGCCATGGGTTATTTTATAATTAATTTTCAGCTCAAATAGTGAGCGCTTTAAGCCAATACATTTCCATGTCGACCGATTTGGTTGTACGAGGTTTATAAAAGGGTAATCACGAAATTTAATCACAAAAAGTTACCAACTAATTGATGCACATGAAATAGAGATGTGTGAGTTGATTACAGGAGTTACGGTTAAGTAAGGGTTAAATGATAAACATGAAAATGTCCCAAAAATAGAAAATGATTTAGAAATGGATTACCGCATCAAGTTTGAAAAATCCTTTTCATTATCAGGATCTCCATAGTCACTTTTCCAGGCGTGTCCAATGGTAAATTTGTGGAATCTAATAAGGTCGCATACTGGGACTTGAGCAATAGCAGCTTTAAACAAATCAGGTCGTTGATTGCAACAGGCACAAACTAGAAGTCCACCATTACTGCCTCCTTGAATGTACAGTCTAAAAGTTTAAAGATGAGTTGGTCTCTTTTAAAAGAACATTGGTGGCTATAAAAACAAAATAAACAACTAAAACTGTGGCTTGGACAGTATTGTAAGTATTTTTATTTTATTTTAACACATAGATATTGGTACAAGGAGGCACCAAATACATATGCGCCACACAAATCTCATTCGATATGTGTGAGGGCTGTGATACTGCCCGGGTGCCCAAACCGAAGCAGGTGGTTTTCTTAGGGGGCCACACCCATGAATCTCATAAAACCAAAATAAACCGATATTGTGTACAGAATATGTTTTAAAAGAAATTACAGCTACAAATTTAACTAAGTTATCAAACAAACGGGAAGTGTTTCAAAAGTTTACTGGCGAATGTTTGCATACTATTAATATTTTATTTGTAGCGTACTCAATACTCGTAAAGAGTTCCCACGATAGAACAGGTAAAAGCGAACTCAACTCCTAACTTTATTGTATCCGCAAGGATCTATAATCATGTGTTATTTATCCAAATTACTAAGGAACAAAAAGCAAGATTTAAAGCTGATTATAAGAAGCGACTGATGAGCGAGAAAACAATATGGTCATAAAAGTCGAACTCTGTCCTTTGATGCGTTCGCTGATCTCTCGAATAACACTTGTGAATCAGGTGACTTGATTTCTCATAAGTCTAAGAACAGATGTCGCATCTAACTTCCAAGAACTTGATGTACCCAAATGCAAATTTACGTTTTTGAACAACCACCAACCTATTATTGAAACACCTAATATAACGTTTATGTTCAATTTGCTATAATTCGTTATGATTAATAAGCGAAAATGAAAAAACCCAAAAACAGTGAACAAAAAGAAAACTCGCTTTTGGTTGTTAGTATATCCATGATTAAGAAGGTATTCGGCTGCTGCTTGGAAATCATCGAAAGAGTTTTGTTTGTTTTGCAGCCGACCGGCGTCGTGCCAAGATTTTCCATATTCTCTATCAATCATCAAAGAAAATTATATGCGTATGAGGAACAAGAGTACAAAAAATTTGATTCTAGTTAACTTAGCCACAACACAACCGCGTGAACCAATGAGAGTATATCCACATGGCCCAGAGCAAATTAATCGTTTCAGACTCATAACTACATCGATCAGTCAGTGAGTTAATAAAAGGCACTTGTAATTAAATACCTACAATGTTCGCAAGCCATCCATTTTCATCAGATACGCTTCAAATCTTTAGAAAACAAACGATCTTGGTGGATCTTAATCAGTTTCATTGATCACAAACTCCATACCTAGATGGACACAATTGAGACTAATGACGCCGACCACCTAACATTGTGAGCTTGAGTAAAAACTTTACACAAAATTGATGAAACAGACTAATCAGGAATCGCCGAGTGATCAGTGTAATCGAATAGCCGAACGATGGCTTTATTTTGCAAAGGATGAGACATTAACTACATGTGATTCGATTTAGCCCAAATAAAATTCACTCTTCATCTTTTCACCCAGGTAGTCGGTCTTGTGTGTAAGAGTGGGCATTAGCTTCAATTATTGGACACCGCGTGTCACAACAATTACGAATATAATGGAAAAAAATTGTCCAAGTAAAACTAACCCTCCACCACGAATGTTGGCTACTGCAATTATACCACCAAAATGCATCAAGAAAAACAATCGTCCAACCGAAAACGATGGAGTAACAGATATGTTGAATCCACCATAGCCGTAAAGTTGACACGGCGCCGAGTTGTTTTGTTGGAAATTCTAAAAAGCAAAAAATGAGGGAAAATAGAGTGCATCGGAACAGTGACGACTTTTGACGACGAAATGAATATCATTCAAATTGATTAAGCTAAAACTTACTATAATTTAATAAGCCTTCCCAGAAGGGGTAGCTAATTTGGCACGCTGAAATGTGAAGCGAGACACTAGTGTAGATATAAATGTAAACAGTGACTAGAACACAAGGTCGAGGGTTTTCATATATTTATTTATTTATTTATTTATTTATTTAAACATATAAACATTCGCACAAGGAGGTACCAAATATGTATGCTCCATACTTTGTCATTCGATTTGTGTGAGTGCTGGGATACTTCCCGGGTGCCTAAACCGAAGCAGGTGGTTCTCTCAGGGGGTCATACCCGGAGCCTTCGATCCAAAGGTTTGATCCACAAGGCAGTGGAGGAAAGTCAGGAGATGTAGTCTCGTGGTGGTCGGTGACCAACGATTGGTTCATATGGCATTTGTTCCTTCTAGATCCTGGAGCCCATGTGCACCATTCATTTGGAGTCATAATTTTCCAACTCCCCTAGGTGGGTCCTCCATATCCACCAGACCGGATAAAGTGCCGAACATTCGCTTTTCAACCCCTCAATTTCGTAAACATCACCCCTCAGCGAGAATGCAGTGAGTAGAACTTCCCTAGCAGAGGCTGTATATGTGTGGCAATATGAAAGCATTTCGAGAGGGAGAGCGGACTAAATTATATGGTTATTATTACCATCGCGGTTTGAAAAGAGATCGTAGAAGAATTAATTAAGTTCCACTTTAAGATGTAACATTTTGAAGTCTAAAGAGTGATTTTCAGTTCATTTCCCTAGTTTTCATTAGCAAGAGATTCAGAGTCAATGAAAAGTCGTACTTCATAGAAATACTTCAGATCGCAGTAATCATGAAATCAGTTAAGCGTTTTACTCTTATCAGTAGTACATAGCACAACTTAAGCAAAGTTGATTAGGTTGATGGTAGCTGCCTTGTCCGGTTTGTCACAAAACGTTTTGAGTTTAATAGAAGATACAGACAGACACTAATCCAGCATTATTACAAATATGAACAATAAGCACGGATTTTTTAGAGATGACTGGTATTCTAGTTAAAAGGTATTGAAAGATGGATGTGTGACGATATCGATAGGACAATTTATATAAAGGTAGCGAATTTATATATACTAAAACGTTAAATATTTTTACTTACTTTAGGTAGAACAAGAAACATAGGAACCACAGTTTTATCTTTACTCTCATAGAATACTTGTTTCACTTCAAATTGATTTAAGTCTACATTCCGAATCTTTGACTCTCTGATAACCTGTCATCAAACAGTAACATCAACAAGGATAATAACAGGTAAACTTGCACATGTAAGTAACAAAAATAGAAAGACATATAATATGTAAGATAGCTAAAAAAAAGGCTTTTGATGTATGAATATGGTGATCAAATAAGAGGACGAAGTAAAGTTCGTGATCACATTAATTAACTTGGAGCCATTTACTTGACCAAGAAATACGAACAATGGAACGTGAGCTGACACTAAGAATTTGATTGTGTGAATACCCATAAAAGCTCGTTACTAAATGAAGAAAGTAATGGTATGAAAACGATAGGTTGATGGTGTGTATGACCTGTGATCTATGTTTTGTGGACAAACCTACCTACTTCGCAGTGAAAAAGGTTGCTAGCATAAATTATAGTAACTACCAGATTACAATACTTCGATCATAGATTAGCTGAAAGATGATACGTTTGAGCAGGTGCTTAATTCCTGCTTACGATGGTAGCGGTAGACAAAGTAACTTTAATTCACCAGTCAACAAGTGTTGAAAACCGCAGGATACGTATGATGCCATTTCTGGTTTGTAGAATTCAATACTAGTACACAAAAACAAGTAATGCTACAAACAATTCACTTGCCAAACTACTTACCTCCAACTTTGGATGAGAGTGGGAAAAATTGTAGGAGTAAATTATTCCAGGAGTGAGAAACGATGTAAAATGGATGAAAGCCTATATTGAGAAAAATTAAATGTTTTATAAAAGATAAATCACAACCTACTTCATCATCACGTTTGCGTCCAGTTACATTAGCGACGCATCCAAGTGAAATATCAATATCCGATATCTTCTCCCCAGTGAGTAGTTTGTGTACGGATAAGCAGCTCTAAATGGACACAAGTTAGAAAATGTTACGTGTCCCAATGTAATAAAATTTTTGGATGTATATAACATGTATAAAATATTTTCTGTATTTGTGTCCAGAATCCTGTAGTTCATAAAAGTGACAAAATGCCGTTTTCGTGGACAACATATCGTAAATGCTAGTGCATGAGATAATGAAAGTTAATAACAATCGGGGCCATACAGAATAGTCATCAGGAGTTTATCAACGAACCATGGAATATCCAACAAAAGGTAATGGATAATAAGTTGCCTATGTAACTGTATAACGTAAATTGGGAGAAAGGACACTAGTTGGGCCAGTTGAACTTGCAAAAGTCAATTCCCATCCTTAATATGTCGAAGATTTCTTTTAATTACTGCACTAATAACTTGCGATTTCTATCAAGTTTCTGTTCACGAGGCATTATTCACTTCGAATAACCGGTTAATAGCTATACAAACTCTAGAATTATTTTTTATTAGGCTATTTAGGTTAATGACTATATTTAAGAAAATAATACAGAACTGACCTTAACATTCTTTAGATGACAAATGATCAATTTATCCTCGTTCACACAAACTGCACTTTCTAAGAGTGATTCCGCATTGTGATCGATAAGATCTTCCCAATGTTGCTAGAATATATGGAAAATAGAATTAGAACATTTATTGTAAAAAAACAATCACTGAATAAATTTTCACTATATATATATCAAGTACATGCTATTGCACTAAGCTTGTTTTTGCACACTTTGTAGAAGGCCCAATTAAATCAAGTGGCTCAAACAAAAAAATTACAATAAAGTTTAGAATATGATCATAGGGTTAATCGTATTTGTCATTCTCACTTGAAAATCAAATGAAATTGTATGTATGATCACGCACATGGCAAGTGTTTATTTACATTTGTTCACAACATAATATATATTTTATACACTTAATAATTCGTGGAAAAATAAAATCATTTAGCACCATAACTACTTACTGAGATTTCATACTAATTTATGCATTCTAAAGCCAGGATAGAAATCTGAAAAGTCTAAAGAGAATCAACTACATAGTTTTTGCAAACTATATGGTCGTTCAGTGAGAACCATCAGCTCCCAATAAATCAATCTTATGGTATTATAAGCAAAGATGGATGGTGGCTAGCAGTGGAATTCAGGACGCGCGTTTTGTCCTATTTGGGACTCGTCAGTTGGATGTACCTGAATCCTAGAATTGATGGTTACTCCGGGACTCGAACCCAGTACCATTCGCTTCAAACGCCACCACGTTATCCACTTATGACGAAACGCGCGCCCTGGATTCCACTGCTAGCCACCATCCATGGGAAGATTCAAGCAAACAATATCAAGTGAATTCAATCCCATGGTAGTTATTCGATAATCGGTTGAAAAGATTGAATATAATGATGGGATTTAACCATTATTATAATCTGTCCAGAAATACATATATATTTCTGGTACCTTTAGGAAAAAAAGACGCAGTCTTCAGAATTGCTATGAAATATGACCAATAAATCAGGATAATAATCGCAGTCACATACAGACAAACTTACACGATCACAATTAGAAAGATTAATTTTGATTATCTTGTACATCGGAGCATCTAAGTTGGTGCGAAATACAAATGAATCACCTTCATTTGTCACATATTCATAGACAGCTTCAAAGCGATCGACGATTGGAATCAACTCAAGTTTTTCTAAAAAGAATTATCATTAACACTGGTAATGGTTTCTTTGATGTTGCTACTCAAAATGAACTACGGAGAATGTTTCAATATTTGATGGCGAGGTTTATAATATATGGCCCTAGCGTAAAATGTGGAAAATGGAGGCTAACTGAAAATCAAACTATGCAAATATACAACTGTATGTCATTATTCCTGAAGAAACATTCAATAATCTCATTGATTTACTCATAATAATGGTGTACAAATATATAAATCTTAAGTATTATTGTTATTATTCGTTGAAAATACATGGCAATGTTGCAGTGATTAGTCTTTAGCTTTTCGTGTATTTAAACAGAGAACTGAAGACTAGGACCACTGAAATTATATCCATCAGGACATAATCTATGTTAGAACCAGAGTTTAAATTCTATATTATTTGTGGGAAGAGTTACAGTCGAGTTAAGGTACACTGTCCAGGAAACCACTGATTATGTCAGCTGATTTACTAATCGTTATACTGCCCGCAGCCCTTCACACCACTTCGTCTAGCTTCCATATCCCTGAAGCTTGGTTAATTACAAACTTTTTGTATTGGCTTTAAAATAAACCAGCACCAAGTCGTGTTCGCTGAGAGATCACAGATACTATGAATATGATATACATTGATGGTAATACAAGAATCGTAAGACAAAAACTACTTAATCACTGGGTCTAGTATACATTAAAGATCAATGCTATGTTAATGCCCAAAGACAAACTGGTTACGTAACAACTAACTTTTGATAATTAGATCGACTTTTTCAAGATCGCAGTAGAAAAGCTGGTTGTTGGGTTCACATCCATCATACAAAGTTACCAGTAAGTATCTCCCGCAATCAGACACTTCTCCTTGACTGATATTTCAAAATACATATAACAAGAAAACATGCCAGTGTAAGAGATCATATCAATGAAACAAGGACGTATAATCTTAAAGATTTCGATCTACGTGATATAATATTAAGAGTACCAGACACAATCTTGTGGAAGTGAAACATAGGAAAAACAATCAACAAAAATCTAAAACTGTTTAGACAAATAAATAAATAAAAATTAGTAAGACACCAACTACGTGGAAAAATATAAACCATCTTTATTCACTGACTACCATTATCTTGAGCACTAGAAAAAGGAATTCTGAGTCTTTATGTGGCCCAGATCAACGGTCAATGAATGTACAGACTAGCGTACTCCAGTGTTTTTTGATACTCAACTCTTGTTTTAAACTTAATTTAGTTCAGTATCGTACGTTACGGTAAATATGTTTACTGTCTGAAAGTATATAAAGGTGAATACAAAATCAGGCTGCAGTAGCTTTAGCTAGCGCAAAATCCTAAGGTATACGATTATTACAAATTTATATTATATATATATATATATATATATATATATATATATATATATATATCCTGATTCGGTTTGGGCACCCGGGCAGTATCACAGCCCTCACACATATCGAATGAGATTTGTGTAGCGCATATATATCTGGTGCCTCCTTGTACCAATATCTGTGTCAAAATAAATAAATAAAATTATATATATAGCAGATAAAATTTGATGTGTGGATGAGAATGATAATGAGTGATTGTCTGCTTAGTCAGACATGTGAATAGTCTGAAAGGTGTCAGATGAGTTATATATTCCACTATTCTTATAATAATTATTATTTGGTTATTTATTCTCTGAAGAAGTGACTTACACTAAGTCACGAAACGTCAGAAAATCTAATTTTCTACTCATTGGGATATTACAAATATATTATTTATTTATAATTATTATTATTGATTGTTCATTGTTGTTGGATTGTGTCGGGTTTTGGTGTGGAAATATATTTACATTCTGGTCAGACTAATCATGTGTTCTTGATCTGAGTTATGCTGAAGTCCTGTAGAATAGACACTGGAGGGGTATCTAGTGTAGATATTCGTCTAAGGTAAATTTACGTCCCACAAGTGTAAACGTGGAAATCCAACCGTTATAACAAAATTATTCAAAGACAAGAGTAAAAGCATTAGTAATACAGAAGTTATTGTTTGGATTAAAATAAACACCACGCCTATACACCGCTAAAGAGCAATTAGTAGCTTAATGGACTTAGCTAAAACATTGTTGGAATTTTCTTACGTCTTTAGAAGGATAGCATCAGACGTTGGAAATGTGTCACTCTTATCAGTCGATCCACATTTACAACTAAACGTAAAATGATTCCAGATTCACCCTAAATGCCGTTTGTTAGATGATCAAACTAAAGACTCTTACAACCGAACACCTGAAACCTAATATTCGACATTCAACATCATTTTAAGGGTTAGGATGAAGTTTTTAGATACATGTTGGTAAGCACTAGATTCAAAATTTGTATGCCATACATGCAACCAAATGAAATTAATTGCAACGGGAAAAGAAACAATCTCGCCACCGCTAAAACAAAGCTTGAAAACATCAAGCTAGCCAGTCTTGGGAAGTTTTTAAACAAGACAATGTGGGATAGAACATACTACAGAAGTAGGCTAAGTTAATAGGCAAATGATTAAAAAAATTATCTTTCGAATTAAGACTTTTGTTTATACGCACATATTCCAGGTAGGGTGATCCGATCTTTCCAGGCATAAGATATCATCTGACTGTGGTGTACCCAGACGATGGTACATGAGCTTCTGATCAGTATTAGTAGTTGTTTCAGTACCATCCGCTTTACCTTCATGCTGAGGGTACATACAGTAAAAAACGCCTTTCTCATCCTTCGTCCACGAAATTGAACTGAACTTGACATGTTGCAAAACATCTGGCAGATCTTCGCCCGATTCGCAAGTTTTAAACTAAGAAAACACATTAATGAAATGTAAACTTACTTTAAGTTCAGACCAATCAGAACCACCAAAACTAAGACCATAACAACAGTAAGTTCCTTCCACCGAAAAACTGTAGTTTCTCAAAGATGTAAGGCCTTCTGGATCGATTTCGTTAGGATCTAAAAACGTTTTTGTGGGTCCTGACAACGTTTTCATTTGATAAAGAACACTGACAAATCCCTCTTCAAATAAAAAAGTACCTTTGATTTTGTAAACCACTATTATGCCATATGTAGTAAAAGGAGCCGTATTTCAATGGACAAGAGTATTTTTCGTAGTCCCAGATAGCAGTTAATCTAAAAATATAACTTAAAATAATACACTTACCTATCTCTGATTTTTGAAGTGTATGGACATTTACGCAGGAACTGCTCCGTTATCAGATTTTGTGCCTTTACAAAAGCTTTTGTCTGGGCAGAATCCGGGTCTTCCAGCCATCTGTAAGGATCATGAACCTAGCCAGGAAGGAAAAGGTTACTTTGTAAACAAATTAGGTAGGTCCAGCCAAATTGTAAGTAGAGAATAGTCTACTTCTCACTGGTAATTCCCACGATACAAAGTGAACATATAACATATAAAATCACAATTAAGTATATAATTAAACGTCAAGACATGGATTGTTAATAAACTAGTTCTCTACTTTAATTAGAGTGCTAAAGATTACTATTATTGTACTTCCTTATTGTGTATTTAATTCACGAAATGAGCCTTGCGAATTTCTGGACATGCATGAACTTAAGAATGAAGATTAGTACTAACTGTATCTGGAAAAATTGAATTTTCTGACACTAAGTTATCGAATTTGAAGAAACCCAGCCATGGATTTCGGAAAAACCGTTCAAATGAGAAACAATTGCCATAATATCAACAAATTAATATAGGTTGAGTTCATCCTCATTCCTTAAACAACGGAAAATGGTTGCTCATCACTTCGCAAAACTATTTGCTCTAATACTAGAAATATTTAAAATTGAGGTCTTGCATATTGCGGTCAGCTCATTAAGTTAAATTAACTAATCATAATTACTGACTGAATTTCAAACCAGATATCTCACGCTACTGGACTGTATTAGGCACGAAATGCAAAGTTGAAATACGCTAGTTAAGTACTCCAGAGTAATGTTGTGTACTAGTTTCTGGTTATAAAATGATCACGAAAATCTTTACTAAGGGTTTAGACACTCAGTCGAATGCAGCCTAGAACCTAGCGTATGTATACATCGGTCGACGTTGCCATAACCTGTTAGCGTGCAGAGATGAAATTGTCAGGGTGAATCCCATAGTTTTAGAGGTAATAGCAGTATTAGTGGTAATAGAAAAGACTACGCATACAAGATGCCATCTGACAAAATATAATTTAGTGAAATAATAGGAAACATTTATGAGGAATCTAGAGTGTAGAATAATATGAATTCATTTTATTTGGTTAGGTTCTCATCAGCTGCTTACATCCTAAATTATTTGAAATTCAACATTATTACAGATATTGACATATTTATACATAAGAGTGTGAATAAGGATCAATACATGTGTATGATGATGTAGAAAATATTCAGATAGAGTTAATGAGCTCATAAAATGTTTGATTCGAATAAATAAATAAAGTTGGAGAGGGAAAGTTCTGGAACATTGAAACATTGGTAACAATAATCCCCACCCTTTCTATTCATTTGCTCCTATTTATTTATTTATTACGTCATTCCCCATCTTCCAACTCTTTCTGAAGTTTAAATTACATCATACGTAAATGATTGATTTTAATTCATATTTTCTTTATTACTATTAATCTATTTTCATGAGTTCTAATCACTATTTCAATGTTCCAGAACTTTCCCTCTCCAACTTTATTTATTTATTCGAATCAAACATTTTATGAGCTCATTAACTCTATCTGAATATTTTCTACATCATCATACACATGTATTGATCCTTATTCACACTCTTATGTATAAATATGTCAATATCTGTAATAATGTTGAATTTCAAATAATTTAGGATGTAAGCAGCTGATGAGAACCTAACCAAATAAAATGAATTCATATTATTCTGCACCAATCTTTGTTCTTGCTCTATTTAAGATAATAAAGGGAACTATGTGTATGAAAGAATCTAGAGTGAATGTACCTGCGCCATCTTTAACAATTGGTTACCATAATCACGTGGACCCCAACCAGATAATCTACACGTACCTACACGACTCAGTTCAACAGTCAGTGTCTTTATGTGTTAATACCATGTCTTGGTTTGGCCGTCCTTACATTTCTCCTAACCTGCTCCTGCACCAGCCATTATCGCGCGTCGAGGTGGTCGGTGGATGGGTTTGCGTACTACATATCCTAACCATCTCAGTCGACAGATATTCAAAAACTTACTGATTTAATGTGGGCAGAATTCGATTACACATAACACGCCTTTTGTTTATATAAGTCTTATAAACATATTAAAAGCATTGTTTTGGAATGATACAACCTCAATCGGTAGTTAAAAAATATGAGGAAAACAATCCACCTACCTGGACACCAAATTTTTCCTCTATAGTAGATTCATCCTTACGTATTTCAGGATAGTTGATACTGGTATGCTCCATTGAAACTACAAAAAAAATAATCATGGATTTTTATTTTTTGAAAAGGTATTGCTGTTTTTACTCAATATTTATATTCATACAAAAGTTCGGGAATACAAATTTTTATGTGATTCATTATGGTAGCAAACCTATCATCGACTGATACGCTTTTACCACACGGAGCGAAGTAACATCTAAAATTACCCATAAATCACACGTTTAGGCAATCCCTACAAACTCTTAATTAAATTGAGCGAGTGGCTGTTTTGAATGACTAAATAGATTATCTAGGCGATGTTAACTTTAGTACATGAATTAGTCGAGCGTAAACAATTTACGGATTAACACGTCACGTACACACATGTTTGATCGTGATACATATTTCTTATACAACGTTGCTAATGTAGCAACAAGAATTCGTAAAAACATTGAGTTTCCACTTATTTAGCTTAGTATTTATGAGAAACGGCTTGTGTATCTAACAGCTTTGAGTATGATAGAACTGTGGAGAACTAGAGCGAGGATACTGAGCAGTTTTATAGGGTTTCTAATTCAGAATAAACAGTTGATTAGAGATGAGACAGAAGCTACTTAATAATTAATGGGGTTGAACCAGCATGTTTCTTTTTAATAGGTGATATGCTAAATAATTACTCAATAACTACACAGCTTAAATACAATGTTTATTTTCAGCGAATTCATTTTCAAAGCTATACAATCGCAAACACATACTTTTTTCAGGATGATAATAATCACAATAATTGTTTGTAACTAGTAGGAAGCACTCGAACTTATGGTGTGTACTATACACAGACCCAGTAAATACTGATGATTGCTAGGTCAAAAATACCAAAGTGTGGTAAAGTGCTTAGGTTGGTGTGACTCCTTGACACAGCACTGTATATTTCGACTAATATGAAGTTTTTCGATTTGGAACTACTAAAATACGATGCAAATTATTGTGCATCTTTGCATGTTATTTGTGCAGAACGAGTTGACGACCCTTCCCACTATGATTCTTCATACTCAATTGTATACTAGCATAACACACGAGCATGGGTGTGGTTTTGAGTAACTTCATAATTAAGTATAAGATTAGTTCATTTTGAGTATGTTAACTTAATCGGTTTCTCGAAGGAAATAAATTCGTTTAGTAGTCTTCAATTCTGGTTAAGTTGCCTATTAGGTGACGCACCATTACGATAAACTATTCTCGAGGCAAGTAAGAATAAACTTGAACGGATCTGCAAAAAATGCATGGGACAGAACTACTTAGTGACCGATTAATATATGAATAATACCTAATATACAGTGTGGGTCCTGAGAAAGTGACTGTATTATTATTGGTTTTAAGGAAACCATTGTGACTTGAACAGATTTTCAAACTCGCATTACTAGAATAAGAAATAAACCGTAGTTACACAAATACATTTAAGTACGTTAAGAATACTTTAAACAAGAAACAAATTTTTGAGTATTATATTAAATGTTTACTAACCAGAATACAGTACGAAGCAGTGATGAGACGTGAGCATGAACTACATATATTACTTGACAGCTTTTATGGTAATTTAGACATGGTTTTCAATAATGACTTAATTCATGACACACTACTTAAGTTTAACATGATGCTATCCATACTCACATATTCTACAAGACCTACCACAAAATGTCTACTAATGTGGAGTGGCATACAGAACAAAGCATTAATGTGACATTACCGGACGTAATCACAACACGACGCTGCGCCAACCGACAAACACGAAGCAATGAATTGCCGATTCTTGTAAATACCGGGGAAAACATTAAACCGACAAAACAAGCCAACGACTATAATGCGTGACAACAAATATTAGCAACAAACCATAACTATTTTGCCAGAACGTATTAACCAGTCAATTGAATTTCATCAGTCGATGGTGATATGGATATTCAAAAAGTTCTCTAATCACAAAATAAAGTTTCAAATAGTAGTGAACGGAAAAGAAGCTGTCGTATAACGGACTTCTGTGTCTAGTAGCAGTGGATCACCAATACCTCTAGGCAGGAACCTGTGTTTTTTAACGATAGTAGAAGAAAAAGAAATTGGTAATCCATAGTATTTTAAAAAGGACAGTGGTATTTTTCCTCGCTGAGTAAATTTGTTTGTTTTGATCGTTTATTACGTATCAAGACTACTGTTTTCACTTTAATTGAATTTATTTCAGTTAAAGAATTTGACTAAAGTATCGTTTTTACTGTTTTGTCGTTGGTACTCTTGAGTACCTCTTATTCAACTGTATCTGTTAGTACTTTTGGTCCTAGCAATCTACAGCTCTTCACTTTTGGTCATTGATAATTGTTTTTTTTTGTTTCTGAGTATCCTCACAGTTTAAAAAAGAACCCCTCTTAAATGACCGGACAGTGTAAAAAAAGTAGTTGTCAGCGTCCGGGTTGTCGGGATGCAGTGCGACGAGTGCAAAGGCTGGTACCACGAAGTCTGCACGAACTTAACGCCTGCTGCTTTCAAACGGTACAGTAAAAAGGGTTGTGTGTGGCTTTTTCAACAGTGCTGCTCGGATGCAAACAGCTTGCTAACCGAGGCCATCTCACTGGTTGATGCTGCAAAGAAGTGCTTTAGCCAGCACAGTCGGAACGCGTCAAGCAGCACTCGATCTGTCGACACGCAAATCAACGTGAAGGAAACTAAGGTTAGTCCGGTGGTAGATGACTCAAGCCTGTCAAAGAAGGAGAAGCAGTCTCCAAAGAGGCCTGCCTTAAACAAAAGCTCAAGAAAAGTAGGGTCTTCTGTTCCCCGTCTCCCAGATGGGATCCAACAGGAAACACCTAGAAGCCGCAATCGCAAGGCTCGATCGGTTTCAAACGGTAAACATAACACGACCCCTCAGGTCGTCGGCAACCCCCCAAAACCCAACACTGAGTTTGACGCAACTGTTATTGCTTCTACCAGCCCCGTTGAGGAATGGGTAAAGGTTGTGAGGAAGAGAAGTAGGGATATAAAAGGGAAACCTGCTCCCGTAAAAGTGGTTGAAAAATCGAAAGCTGATCATAGCGACAGATCAGCTATTTTTCATAGAATCAAGGAGAGCGATAGCTCTGAACCTAAAGCTCGTTTTGAGCATGACATTGTACTGATTAGGCAGCTGCTTAATCAACTCATGCCTCAAAATATGACCGGGGTCACCTTGCTAAAGGTGTACAGACTAGGGAGCCAAACGGACTCGAAACCAAATCATTCCAGATTGCTTAAAGTAGTATTCGGCTCTTCGAACGAACGTGACCAAATTTTACAAAATGGGCACAAATTAAAGGGTTCAGGAGTCTTTATTCGAAAGGACCTACCGTTGGCAGACCGTGTTAAAAGACGGGAAGCCGAGAAAGAACTACAACATAGGTTGGACGCTGGCGAAAAGGACCTGAAAATTGTAAATTTTCGGGTTGTAAGACTTCGACAGAGAATGATGCCGAAGCCACTCTGGGTGAAACACGAAGGCACTTAAACAGGCTTCGGATCTGTTACACCAATGCACGAAGCTTACTTAATAAGCGATCGGAACTAGGTGTACAGATTGACTCTACAAAGCCAGATATAATCGCAGTAACAGAAACCTGGCTGACACAGGCTATAGATAGTATAGAACTTGATTTCGTGGGCTTTACGTTAGTAAGGGCCGACAGAACACAAAAGCGCAAAGGAGGGGGAGTAGCTCTATTCATTAGGAATGCTATCCCATTTACCATTATCGATAGTGTATCCCATGAGAGTGGGACGTGTGAATTAGTTAGTCTTCGCTTAAAATGCAAGGGACAAGAGCTGCTGATTGGTTTGGTCTATCGCAGTCCAAGCTGTGAGGCAAATGAGATCCTGTTAAGCAGTCTCAATACTTGGTCCCAAAGTGGTCGATGTCTAATCCTAGGGGACTTTAACGCACCTATGGTAGACTGGGAAAATCTGCGAATTAAATCGTCGGAGAATTCTTTCGAGCAGGAACTAGTTGATGGGATTATCACATGTGCTCTAGTACAACATGTGAAAGAAGCGACAAGGTACGATCCGGACACTGAATCATCCTTATTAGATCTTATACTGACTCACTATGAGGATGATGTTGCGAATCTCCAACATATGCCACCCTTAGGTAAAAGTGACCACGCAGTTTTAACTTTCGACTTCCATATAACTGTCAGTCATGAGGACGCATCAGTCCAGTCCAGACCCAACGTCTGGAAAGCAAACATACCAGCCATCATGCACTCAGCATCGTTAATAGATTGGACAATAGACCCAGAGTCCTCCATTGAAACGGCCTGGGACGCATTTCGAAATTCATACTTAAAAGTTACCACACCTCACATCCCTTGGACTATACCAAAGGGACCGAAAAACTCTCCACCATGGTTCAGTAGGGAGGTCCGTATTCTTCTCCGTAAGAAAAGGAAGATGTGGGATAGATTTAGGTTACTGGCGACTGATGAGGCAAAATCTCAGTATCGAAAGGCTCGGAACACTTGTGCCTCGACCCTCCGTAAGTCTAGAAAATTGTACGAAGAAAAACTTGTAAAGGAATCCATAGAATGTCCTAAACGCTTGTATTCCTATATAAACCAAAGGACAAGGAGGAAAGGAAATATTCCTGCTCTATGGGGAGACAGTACTGCTTCATCATTAGTGGAGGACGACTTTGGTAAGGCTCAAGCGTTCTCGAACTACTTTAGCAACGTGTATACCATAGAAGCGCCCTTCTCGTCAGCGTATACAGATCCCCCCACACATACACTGGATAGCGTGACCATTAAAGAACTCGATGTCTTTGGTCTGCTAAATAAGCTTGATACAGGTAAATCCACAGGGCCCGATGAATTACATCCTAGGCTACTAAAGGAATTATCTAACTTCGTTGCAAGCCCTTTAAGTACATGCTTTAACCTATCCGATACGCAGGGTCGCTTACCGAAAGATTGGAAAAACGCCATAGTAAGTCCTGTCTTCAAAACAGGTACGAAACACAAACCTGAAAACTACCGCCCCGTTAGCCTAACTAGTGTGGTTGTTAAAATATTAGAAAATATTATTAGGGAAGAGCTGTTTAAGTATCTCGATAAAAACCGGATCCTCTCGGAGAAGCAGCACGGCTTCAGAATAGGTTATTCTTGTCTCACTAACTTATTAGTGGCTCGTGAAAGCTGGTGCGCTCTTAAGGACCAAAAGCTACCTGTAGACGTCGTCTTCATTGATTTCAGTAAAGCTTTTGATAAAGTTCCGCACAACCGGCTGTTATATAAGTTAAGAAAAGTCGGGATTGTAGGCAATTTATTGATGTGGATAAAAGACTTCTTAGTTGGGCGTCAACAAAGAGTTCGGGTGAACTCAAAGTTATCTAGCTGGGAAACTGTGCTTAGTGGAGTGCCCCAGGGTACAGTTTTGGGGCCAGTGCTATTCCTCTTGTATGTAAATGACCTTCCTTGTCTCCTATCATCATCGGTCTTGCTATATGCTGACGATGTCAAGATATGGAAAGCGATACGATGTAAGAGTGATAGCTTAGAACTTCAAAATGACCTGAAGAAGTTATCTGAATGGTCTCAAACATGGCAGTTGCCGATAAATATTTCCAAGTGTGTTGTGATGCATATCGGTCATCAAGGCACAAATACATACATGATGGATAACACTGAGCTACCTGTCGTCCAGACATATAATGACTTAGGCGTTATCGTTAGTCAAGACTTAAAGACTACTGCACACTGCCGTGCAATAGTCACCAAAAGTTTTAGATCGTTATGGTCCATACGTAGGGCTTTTAGTCATGTCGACGCTAAGACGTTTTTGACTTTGTATACAGTGTTCGTTCGTCCTAAACTTGAGTACTGCATACAAGCGGCTAGCCCCTGCTTAAAAAAAGACAGTGAGCTTCTGGAAAAGGTTCAGAGAACGGCGACTAAGCTGGTTCCCGGAATAGCAAAGCTTCCGTATGAATCTCGACTGGCCAAGCTGAACCTTTTCCCGTTATCTTATCGCAGAACTAGAGGTGACTTGATTACAGTCTACAAATTGCTTAGTGATAAATTTGCACCTAACATGCCCTCATTTTTCTTGTCTTCCAAAACAGAGAATTTACGAGGACACTCCAAAAAAGTTCACAAGCCGAGAACAAATTACTTGTCAGCTGACTATCGACTTTCCCATCGAATAATCAACGAGTGGAATTCACTACCTCAGCACGTGGTTGAGGCTCCATCCGTCGACTCTTTCAAAAGAAATTTGGATCAACTGAGAGACCACCATTGCCAGGACTAACATAGGCCGTCGAGCCTCCTGTCCTTCTCAAACTGAAACTGAAACTAAGAGATTACCCTTAGTCCCTAAGAATGTGTCAAGTTGCCTCTTGAAGAACTCCTGGAAAGTCGCCTGGACTAGATCAGCCGGCAGCAAACTCGAGCACTTCACAACTCTGAAGGAGTAGAAGTTACGTCAACAGTCCGTTCTGCTGTGTTGTGTCTCTAGTTTCTGGGTGTTACCCCAGAGGTTTGTGTCGGAGCTAAACTTAAGTATGTGTTTAAGGGAATGGCCAGAAGTGTTAAGAATGCTGTAAGTCACCACAACTTCACCTCTAAGACACCTATACTCTGATTGGTAAAGGTTCACCAATTTGAGGCGCTCTTCATAGGGATTAAATTTTAGTCCTCAAACTGATTTCGTGGCTCACCATTGGATACGTTCCAATGTGTTCTTATCCTTTCGGATTGAGGACAGAAACAATATATTTTCACACTCTAAATGGAGTCGAAAAGACTGCTGAAGATTATGTGGAAAGTTCCTCCATCAAACTGGCCAAAAATGCGCTTCAATGTTACGAGTGCAAGGTTTGCTCAAAAGGCATTTTTGTCACAGTTAGCGTAAGACTTCAGATCACAAGGTACCAACACTCCTAAATATTTTTCAACTTGAGATACTTCTAGAAGGGAGTCGCCTAAGTTGTAGCTGTAGTCTGCAACATGTCACAGATGGACTATGTCCGTTGTTGTCCGCACAACTTCAAAGGCGAATTAGATCCTCCTGAAGTGCCCATTTATCCTGGTGGTTGTAAACTTCTCACCAGAGTTTAACATCATTAGTGAAAAGTAATAAATCTGACTAAACCTGCTGTAAAAGGTGGTATATATAAATCAAGAAAAGATTTCTTAGTACTGAACCCTGGGGGACCCTTTTAGGACATTCCAGTGTCTGAGAGAAAGTGAAGTTAATCCTTGCCCTAACATGTAAATTTTTTAGACACGAAGTGAGTCAGTCATTTGAAGGTGATTTGATGTACAATCGTTTGAGCTTATTGCTAAGACAAGAATGGTTGACCTCATCAAAATCAATTGAGAATTCAAACTTTTCCTTGCGATCGAGGAATTTTGTTGATCTTTCCACCGCAATCGGCAGATTGGTTATGCGAGAGTGAACCTTTCTGAAACCGTGCTGTTGGGATGAAAAGAATTTTATGAATAGGAAGCAGTCACGTAAACCGTCACAAATCCGTAACTCCATAATTTTCAGGGTGTTGAGAGAAGCGCTACTGACCGGTAGCTTGAAGGTTCACTGCGTCGAACTACTTCGAAAACTGGTGTAATGTGAGCTAGCTTCCGATTTCCTGGTATCGCGCCTCAACTTACTGAATGTGAGAACATGACGCTATACTGTTCCGCCAAAACTGAATAGCGGGCCCTTAGATTTCAGAAAGTTGAAGGCCGCGCTAAAGTTCTGAAATCGCGAATTGTGTGTTAAATGCAGTATGCTTTTATTCGATGAAGTTGTGGTTCATATCATGTATTTATGAAAGTCACTTTACACAATAGTTGAGTCCCCTTTCTTTCTAAAGTTGGTTTAATTTAAGGTTGAACTTCTGTTATAGGAAGAAAAGAAAAATATGTTTATTATTATTATAGCGAGCCGTGTAATTCCTCTGCCAGCATATATGCCAACGTTTATTTGCCTTTAAAGGCGAACTGCACTCATATCAAACTCAATAAAGTTTACAATATACTTAGATGTTCGCGATTATCGTGTAGTCTGGGTTTTTTTAAAGACTCCTTGGAAATCTGTGGTTTTTCAGAGAAGTCTGTTGCGCTTCTGCTTAGCACATTGCCTTGGTGCAACTGTTGTATAGTCACGTGACTACAAATAGATTTTTTACATAAAGCCGTTTTATGATAAAACACTGATCAGTGTTTCTGGTTTATCATTCTGTGACGTCGTTATGTTGAGATGATTATTCACGTAAATATTGAATTGGGACTACGAAACTATTCATTAAGTGATGAAACATGGGCTTATTTGTGTGAGTTCCTTTAATATGAGGGTTTTGGTCGTAGGATTAAAATGTATATATGCAGTGTGAAAACTGAGCACAAATCAATTTTATTATTTCTTAGCCATGAATTTTTGATTTGACCTCTCTGTCTGTTTACTGGCTTGTATGAGGTCTTAAGGTTCGTAAAACATTTACAGCAACGATCTTGAATAGCTACACTTATCCTAAGAATCTGTCATAAACATATAGGCAACTTGACTTGAACTTCAGGTTTCCAAACTTCCTGGTTTGGAAATTATCATAGTATTGTAAACAAGTTCTCAGGACCAGTTACATAGATGTTTAAGCTTATTTTTCCGGCTTCATGTCAGCATAAAGCTAATTAGTTTTCGAGAAAGTTGTTTACAAAGCTTGTACACTATCATCCAGATAAATTCTACAAGAGATTCAGTAAGTTCTTTAAAGTTACTGCAATGACAAAAGATGTTCACTAAGATCCTTACTATGAGCAGGACAGTTTGTACTCATAGTTGAGCAGCGTAATACACTGCTGGGTGAGACTATAATTTATGGACGTGGATAGTGGCTTTGAAAAGGACACCTTGCTAGGTCTAAAAGAAATTTATAAACTATTCTAAGGAATTAGGATTAGAATTTAGAGTTAGAGTTTATGGTTGAGAATTAAATTCAGGGTTCTCTTCACGAACTAATATCACATATAATTTCTATTTATTCATATGAATGAATGAATTGCGCCTAAATCTAAAACGTGTTATCCTTAATTTTATTGGTTCGTCCACAGGCTATAGTCTTGCCGATTGCTAAGTAATGGTCTAAATTATTTCCTACTACGAATGTTTTGTGTTCAGGTACTTGATGCTCTATGTTTGTCTTTCTGATTAAGACACGTAGATGTAACAACAATACACAATTGTGAAGAGATTAAAAAAATTGTTAAAACAGTCTTTTTTTCCAGACTAAACATGTTTGGAGGAGTAAACTGTGAAGAGCATTGAAACAAAAGTTTTAAGAATACTGGATTAACGTCCTTGTTAACGTAATGCTTAAATAATTGACTAGCTGAGTAAAGCACAGACAAGAAGTGAGTTAAGTCATAATTAAGGTTTTAAAAAACGTTACGCAACAAACACCTAAAATTAATTCTGTGTAGACGAAACAAGGTCAATAAAAATGTTTTTCTGTATACATAAATTTGGCTTAAACCTTTCAGCAAAACCCAATAAATTCAAAATAGTTTGTTTATTGGCTATTTTAAAGGATTCCAGGTCGACTACATTATACTCACTGTTACATTATCAGTTTATACATCCACGATCTTTGTTGTTACCTCGACACAGTGGACTAGTTTAGTATTCGTGACTACCTGCTTGCGCCGTTTCGTTTGGAACATATTTCTTTAGGTTTTCTCATCCCAATAAGTCATTTACGAAAACAACAGGACCAAAAATAGCAAGTTCTAATTTAAAAAGTAATATGCCTTTACGTCAGGTTCTACGTTGTTATTGACTAGTTTGTTGAGTTAAATCATCTACTGCATTGTAGTCGTAATGATTCCCACAGGTAGTCAGCATATCTAGCGGCCGTTGCTTCTAATTAATCTCAGATCGAGAATAATACAGTCGTGTTGGTAAGCTTTAAAAAGTACGACGCTAGCACAACAAAAAAGTCATGCGACTGGGCTCAAGTGGTTGCATTTTTAACTAATCGATCACAGTTCCGGGCCGAAAACGTCGTCGTTACTAATCACATTTCTTAGGTCTGTGGCGAAGAAATTCTGTTTCACGTTATAAGCAACAGAAATATGTAAACTAGCAAAGCTCATTACACATACTAGTAGCTGTTGTTTTGAGGCAAGTCATCTCAAGAAAGAAACCTCAGACAGACGTACGCTGGTCCACGTTGTCGAACTAGATTGACATAACAAAATAGTATTGTAGCAATCGTAAGACGAAAGACAATCATAGTAATATGGTTTAAAAAGATAGTGGAAAGGTATGCACAAAGGGATTACTGGAGTACAATATCGAGAAGATAAAGAATAAATGCATCTAAACCACTGTGGACAATTTCAAGATGTGTTACCCAAACTTGGTCACGGTTATCACGCGGACTTCAACCAGGTAGTTGGATTCTACCAACATGGGTTGGAGCAACAGTCAGTGACTATATGGATTAATGCTATGTCTTGGTCTGGCCACCCATAGCTTCCCTGAAACCTACTTCTACACAAGCAAGCTCGTCGAGGTGGGTGGTGATTAAGTATACGTAACACATGTTTTAAATGCCTCAGTTGATGAAGATTTACAGCCTTATCAACTGATATACTACCTTTGACAAGTACTTTATCGGTTTGAGGTGTGTAGCAGATAAACTTCCTGGGTAGAATACTTGAGTTGTTAACTATCGGCTGGAAATCGCATGTGGTAGAGTCTACAAGAAAACATGATGGCGTTAATACATTCCACATCATAATCATCTTATTACTCATCAGTTACCTGCTATAGCTTCCAGTTACATAATACGGATAGGTGCACTTAACGTTAACCCCTAATAATATGAAGACTAGTGGTACTACTCGCCTGCTGAAACGAAATCAAATGGTACTGGGTCTAAACACGTGACCTACTGGCTATTGTTTAAGTTCTTCCAACGCTAATTCGCCCATCCATTACTGCTTGTTTGTAATCTTTTTCCTGATTCTCTTTAGCAGTGCTGTGATAAGGTTTGATTACCTCAACTTGAACACTTTCATGCGATATTCTGTAATACTGTATATCTTCCTTGGAATAATTTATTCTTAACGCTCCTCTGACATCTTTCTCGTAACGGGCCACTTATAAAAACGATTTAGTGATTGTGTTTACGCTGATTATCTCATTTCCCGTTCTATAATTTCTATGGAGTTCATTTCACCGAACTTCATTTCTGAATGCACACTATTATCATTCTCCCAACTATAAATTTTGTCTATTTGGTCCACGTGCTAAAATGTGCTTTCATCACGTTCAATTTAGAACGAGTAATAAAATTACAAATGCTCGGTGTTTTTGATGTCGATCTGCTACCACAGGAGCTTCCACATACTACAATTACATCATGCCTTTGCAGTGGTGCCGTTTTTTCAGGTTCTCAGCGATCCAAGGGTAAAAAGTATAATGTGGAAGTAACAATACAAGCAAGACAACATCTTCGATAATCATGACCTTTATTCAGTATGTCGATATGAAGCAAAAAATGGTGTACGGCTTCATGAAAATTGAGAATTTGACTCAAGAATATCCAAGTCTGACTACATATTTTGAAGGAGAAATAATAAGTAGACTACACCCGTTCATGACTGGTAAATGGGATGCTACCATGGAAACAGATGTCTTACACTGGGTATTTGTTTAATTATTATCAATTCACTTGCAGGAAAAAATACCAGCAACAAGTTCTCTAGGGAACTTCCATATAGATAGTTTCGACTACTCTATTTTAGAAACGTCCGATACGATATTTATGAGATGGAAAGTGAGTTGTTTTGTAATGTTAAAAATTTTCTTAGGAAAAATTCATTGTTCCAGATCCCGGGTTGAAACACATAGAGGGAGCGTCATTCGCTGGATTTTATTATATCGGATTACAGAAATCTATTGGACATGTTCTAGGTTATTACTATCATCTTAACTCAGAAATGTATGAATTTGTATTTTAATAATTTTATTTATGCTTTACCTTAGGTTCCAATCTCTCGAACTGAAATATAAACCAGAAAGCACACCGTCTATTTTTCAGTTGCGTTAAGGATGTTCATTATTACGTTTTGGCTTGTGAGATAGATGTGTTTCAACTGATTTATCACTCGATTTTTATTTATTTGCTAGACAGGATGTGACACTTCATTTTCATAATATCTGCAAATTTATCTAAATAGCATTTTATGACAAATACACTTCAGTTTACATCTTCATGCAGTCCTTAATCACTAAGAGTATATTTATACTAATATCTCTGAAATGTACAGCTTTTAGTATGTATTGAAAAATTCACTGTCACTTGAAAAATATAGTTCTATTTGATACTTATTGTTCTACTAATCAATAATGGGAATTAATAGCCATCACATGTTTTCAGTGGTAGGATGCCGTGTGATTGATCGTACGAAATTATTCAAACTAACTTTTAAACATGAAGTAACCCAATGTAAGGTCCTCCAATTAAAGAAGAATAAACTAAAGTAACCCGTACAGTGAAACTTCCTCTACAACATCAGTCGTGTGTAACGTGGGCAAGATGAATTCTGAGACATTTAACTCATGGACCCTATTAAATTATTGTTTGTAGTTGAAAGGCTTCAGGTTTCTTATTTGTTTCAGATAGTAAACATGATAATTAAGAATATGAACTGATAATTTTAGAGTGCTAGTCTATACATCTGACAGTTGAGTCATTCCAATTATATTGGTTGCCTTTGCACATACTCTGAAGATACGTGATTAGTCGTACTGATTCTGCTCATTCCCGTAGGTGGATTAGTATTTATTGTGATAAAATTTGTCTATGAATACTCCTGTTTTCACTGTGCCATGTATGTGATTGTTGCGCAATCCTAATCCATTGCTACAAAATTTATCTTATTTTCAAGCACCTCGATTGTAGAGAAATAGTTCATCCTGTAGAAGCTGGGAAAGATACATAAGCAGAAATGGTATCTAACAATTATTTAGATCGAAGAGTCAGTAAAAACCAGTGCCATCCACTAAATTGATAGGTGATCGAAAACTCATTCCATCAGGCTTGGAGGATGATAAAGGGCGGAAACAACTCAAAGGTGGACTGACAAGTTTATTTCGTGGTCGTGAGGAGTGATGGACAACGAAAGCAAAAGAGATAGGAAAGGCAGTAGCGTTAGGTGACACCGAACAGCCATTCAGACTCATCAAGAAAACACGTATTGAGAATGTTGGTGTTAGCGAAACTATTTCGACGAAAGACGGGACGGATTACTTGATTTGGGAGACTAGTCGGACAAATAGAACACTAAAGAACTGTTCGACTGGCCTCCACTTACCATCCGGCTAGTCACTATCTTCAAATAACCTGGATTGCAAAGTGATGAGGTTGCGGATAATCTATGGTGAAGGTAAGCAGCAGGTCCTAGTGGCTTGGTTCCAGAGATCTGTAAGGCTAGTCGTTCAGTTTTAGCAGCCAAGTTGGTTGAGATGTTATAACATGAGCATGCTTACCAACGCCTGACTGTAGTTACATTTCTTGACCTTAAAGTCGCATTCAACTCTGTTGATCGTGAATTTCTGTAACAATGGTTCTCACTGAAAAGCGTACCCAGAAAGTATATAAATATTGTAAAGGCTCCCTACTCGAACACTATTGATCGAGTTAGAGTTTATGGTGAACTGTAAACCTCAAATGCCGTTCGACGGTGTTTCCCACTGTCTCCATTCTTACTTAACATTTTCATTTGTGTCCTCCTGGAAATTACTTTGCGAGTTGGTTTCCTACCAGGAAGTTCACTTGTCGCTGCAGAATACGCAAATGACATAGTCCTATGAGGGAAAGAAGCTGACAAAACTTAGAATCCTTTCATCAACAATATGGGCATGTTTGCGATGCGTTTCCTCTGTTTTCATGTAACATATCTGAACTAGTGTAGTAATTGGGTGTGTTGACCATTTAACTTGAGTGTAACTAACTCTCGTGCTCAACGAATTCCCAGCATACATTCAAAAAGCTGTTGGCCTTTGCCAACTCTTGTCACTTGTAGCACATACGAGATCTGTCTGTGAACGAAAGGAAGTATATACTATGCAGCGATCCTCTTTCTTCTACTTTCCAACTGTGAAACATGGCCTGTGAGAGTAAAGGATATACGTAGGCTGAAAGTCTTTGATCATAAGTGTCTTCGAAGCATTGTTCGCGTATCGTGGGACAACGGAGTGAGCAAAATTGAAAGTAAGCTAAAGTGAGAAACTAGTTGATGAAGGCATTTAAAACATGTGTTACGTATACTTAACCACCACCCACCTCGACGAGCTTGCTTGTGTAGAAGTAGGTTTCAGGGAAGCTATGGGTGGCCAGACCAAGACATAGCATTAATCCATATAGTCACTGACTGTTGCTCCAACCCATGTTGGCAGAATCCAACTATCTGGTTGAGGTCCGCGTGATAACCGTGACCAAGTTTGGGTAACACATCTTGAAATTGTCCAGTGGTTTAGATGCACCTATTCTTTATCTTCTCGATATTGTACTCCAGTATCTAGTTCGACAACGTGGACCAGCGTACGTCTGCTCTATGTTGGTAGATGCAGACTACTTGGTTGGGGTCCGCGTGACTATCGTAACCAATGGTTGGAGACTCTTGGTGACATGGCGTCGGTGTATACACTCCCTGTCTTTCCTTAAACTATGAGATTAAAATCGCTTCATATCTTTCTTTCTACGAACCAATTCTTTCTTCTTGTACTATATCTCTATATGCAATCTTTCTCTTATATATTGCCCCCAAATGCCCTGGTACGGCCGAGTGGGGAGAGTCCGCTCTCCCTCTCGAAATACTCTCACACGGCCACGCGTATATAGCCTCTGCCAGGGAAGTCCTACTCACTGCCTTCTCGTGGCGGGGATGTTGTTTACGAAAATCAGAGGACGAAAAGCGAATGTCCGGCGCTTTAACCGGATTCCAAACCAATGGTGCACATGGGCTCCAGTATCCTGCGGGAACAAATGGCGAATGAACCAATTGTTGGTCACCGGCTTCCATGGGACTGCATCTCCTCACGATGCTCCACTGCCTTGTGGATCAGACCTTCAGGTCGAAGGCTCGGGGTGTGGCCCCCTAAGAAAACCACCTGCTTCGGTTTGGGCACCCGGGCAGTATCACAGCCCTCACACATATCGAATGAGATTTGTGTGGCGCATATGTATTTGGTGCCTCTTTGTACCATTATCTATGTGTTGAAATAAATAAATAAACCTAACCACTGTTATGAATCCGGTGTTCATCTTGTTGTGTTGATGCGGTATGGCAACCTGGACCGATGCACATATGTGCCTGGTCCTACGTTGTAGCTGACTGACCTGTATTGCATTAGGATATAATAAGCGATACCATGCTACAGTAAAATAGTTAATTAAAGTTATCCAAAGCAAACGGCTACCCAATCACCCGGCTTTCCCACACTTTTTATTGTGAGATTTGTCATCTTTATTGATGAATAACAGCGAAGTACGTGCCTCGTTGTTTTCGGCTATTGTTGTCTATATCTTTGACGCCACTTAAGCAAATTTAAGGGACCACTTTTCCATACAACCCGGAATGTAGTGTGCGGTTGATATTAGTTATACTTGCTCCAAGTACTAGAATAGGCAACTTGTTATTCTGGTGTAAGAACCATCGAACAGACGTTTAAGCTGTTAAAGTCGAGGGAAAATAAAACTTCCTCAGCAAATATGGAATGAATATTCAACCGATGAATCCCAGAGCTTTTTAAAACTGTAGAACGTGAGGAAATCACTCATCAAAAACAGATGCTTCGCCACTTGAAGTGAATTGAGACTAGTCAGTAATAAAACAGAACGAGTTCAATGTGCATATTTCTTGTGATAGAACACAAGTACCCGGACCATTTCAGTTGTAGGATTAATGATGAGTTCAACGCCCCAATACTCAAGGATTATTTATAGCTATCATAATAAAAACCTGTAGCTTATGTGAGAAGATAAATCAGTAGGCACGCATGAAAGAAAACAATTAGAAGCACATTGTCTACCTCCATATAATTACTGTGATGACTTCACCATGAAGAAGGCACTGAATTTCCCGGGGGAACCCCACTAGGACGTAGTAATCACATTCTAACCTCTGCTATCACTCAACAGGCGGGAGCTGTGTCCCTGCCTAGAATATACTGATAAACGTCACGGCGTGTTTAAAACTAACCGACGTGTTGTACTCACGTTTCTATCAGAAGCACTCCCGAGAACTGCCAAGACAGGCAACACTCAACGAACGTGGAAAAACCCACTACAGCAGCAACCAAGGACGAGTCAATAAGGAAAGACGCGTAAATATGGCCGCAGTAAATCCCGCTTTACTACAACGCACTCTATTCCATAGCGACTAACTTTCATGCAAAAGCAACTACCACGGCACCCTCCTGTAAGCCGGCAACATATACGAGACGCGACCCACCTTGGATGACAAGTCTCCCAACATTCTGTCGTCACTACCAAATATTATTTGTTTTATGTTCTTTATTTCCTATTAATAAATTCGCCACATATAACTGTAACCGATATCCTTGAGACTTCATAAAACATTTACTCAGGAAGGAGTTAAGATATCTTGGCAGATAAATTATATCAAATAGGTATGCAAGCAAGCCAAACTACCACAGTGCTAGAGAAGTACTCATTTCATCACGGCACAGTAAAACTTTATCAACGAATTACCGTAACATGCAATGGACACAATTGAATGACTTCCCCTTTATATATTCTTAGTAACCGCTAGACTAGAGCCAAGAAACCTTACCGATAGTCTACTATAGTAATACAGCCTCAATTTACGTTTTTGTGTGCATAGTACCCGACTGACCTGAACTGTCTACAGAACGATTAGGTTGGTGTTGCAAAAGCAAGCTTCACAACGCTGTGAAACACAAATTCTCAAAAGTCTGGGTTCCGAACTAAATTTATTGCAAATTAGTGAGCAAGACGTCTTGCCCGTATTCGCTTATCGCGCTCTTCTATAATGGACAACCTGATGCCCCTGTTTTTCGGTAGAGAGATCCATGGTTTGTTCGACTTTCCAATGATGAAAATATTGTTTAGGCGAGTGACGAACTGGTGCCCTGTGTTGTCGCGCACGTGAACCATTTCGACAGAACCCGGATGACGTTCCCATTGGGTAATAGTTCCAACTCGTCCCAAGTTACGTCCGCCTGTTACCATACACATATTGCCTGCAAAAACAATAAGCTAAAGATGTTTTTACCTGGTTCAAATTTAATATGGTTTAGAACTTTGCCCGTAGCGATGTCCACCTGGATCGTATCATTT